GTCATGTCCCTTGATATCCCTTATTTTTTTCAGACACAGTAAAATGAGTCCACCCTCTCAGTCATCCGTGCTGTTCTCTATGTTATGGAGGCTTCATGACTTTTATGAGTGGCATCTATCTTCTTTGGTAGCCAGCTTACTATCCCAGGAGGACATCTGTTTGGACTAATACTGATGTCATAGAAAATGTTAAAAAAATGTAATTTCAGTCTTAAGGTGTCAACACCAGATATATAATTATCTAAGTGGCTAAACTACAAGGCTGGGCAATCCTCGTAATAAAAAGAAATTCAGAAAAAGGCACATCTTTTCTCAATGGTCTATATCTCGTAGCCTTGTCAATGTTGTATGCAAGTATATATATATTTGGTTCACATGCACTGTTTGTCTCACATTGTTGCGAGGAGCATTTGTCCAGACGGGGTCCTCTGCTGCAAGAGCAATGCTGCTCATTGCAATGACGACCAGAATGGACATCTCAAAATATCGCAGAGTTACAACATAGTGACATAACCGCCTAAACCTGGAAAGAGAGAAAAAAGAGAAGCATAAAGCTTTTGCTGCTAGTTCGTCATTTGTTTTTAACAAAAGCAGAGCTCCTGGGATTTTGTTAGAAAAATAACTTAACCATCTTTCCATGTAAAAGGTTTATGCTACAGTATAAAGCAAGTGTGACAGAATGAAGGCAAAATTGTTCACAGATATGAAAACCTCACCGATTTAGCCATTGACCAACATATTTGTTGTTTCAATGTATCCAAAGACAAGTATAGGTGGATTAAGGAATTTGATGTGACTTACGAGTTGGTCTGTCCAAAGATAAACATGGAACTGTATGGCAGGATGGGTTTTGGTCCACTCTGACATAGATCCAGTAAAGTTTTCTTATTCATGGGTATCATTTCACAGTCAGTACTGTTCACTAGAAAGACAGACATGAGGACATGGACAAAAGCTTTTTAAAATGACTGTCTATTTGAGACTGTAGTTACTTTCCACCCTAGATTTAGGAACTTTAAGAATAAAAATACTTTTTTTTATTGAAATGAAAAATAAATTTATCCCAAAAGATCCTTCATCAGGTGTAATTTCTATTTATTTGCTGTGGTTAACCATACACCAAATTTAATGCGGATTATGTTTTGTTAACTTTCAGAATTTTTTAAAACCACTATGGGCTTATCCGCCGTAACAAAGACTATTTAGTATCACATAGTCATATTTAGCATGCATTTTGTGTGCAGTGGGTTATATTTACTTTGTATTAGGGTGTTGTCTCTAGGTGGAGAGGTTATTGTCACAGGTGGGAGGTGCATAGAGGCTGGGCCGGTTCGTCTCACATTCCTCTGGTTGTCTGAGTCCTCCAGACGGTCATTTGGCTGACCTGTCTTTTCTGAGGCCTGCTTAGGGGAGATGGCTGAGAACTCCCCTTCTGAGTCACCAAACCTGTTTAAAAAAAGCAGATGTGGCATCTCACATGTGGCATCTCCCATGTTGACAGTACATTTTCAAATGGTATCTATTGCAGATGGATATGGAATAAGACGGGTTCCCTTTGGGTACTCAAAGTTACTCTGACAGATCACAAACGTGCAGTATTAGCGCCATGTTCACCCAAAAATCCGCATTAATGCATTAAGCCAACACCCTAATTACACATGGTAGAGATTTAGCAGTCTTTGGTAATAATTCTAGCACCAGAGTGAAGAACATAAGCCAACTGACAGTCAGTAAATTTAAAAATAACTTAAAGCAGCATAAGAAGAATAAATCTTGACTTTATAAAGCTGACTGTAAATGTAAAAGGGCTCCAAGGGTATTACTTTTTGGCGAGCCAGCGTTAGAAGTTCTGTTCTTGTGTTTACCTGTGACAGCCAATTTTCTCTCCTCCATTGGATTCCTCTTCTTCGGTTTTGGATTTGCTCCTCGGCGCATTAACATGATGCCTCCTCTTCTCTCCATTGGCGGCGCCATCTCCTGCTCTGCAGTTGCTTGCATCTTTTGGGCGGGATCTTCGCTCTCCCCTTTCTCTGCTGTTCACTGTCCTATTCCCCTCTCGCCTATGCGAATGGTGATGGTGGTGCTCCTTCTCAGTTGGGACTCTGCCACGTTCGGGGTCCTTTACCGAACTCTGGTAATGTCTCCCGGCGCCCTCTCTGCTGCGGGACCTCCCGCACCTCTCGTCTCTGCCCGGGCTGCAATTTTGGTCTTTGGAGCGGTTATGATGGACGTGGTGTCTCCCATCCTTACCAGTGTCGCAGTTGTCGTCGGTCTCGTCTTTTCTCTTGACCCGATCTTTGTTTCTGTGGCGGTGCTGATGGTGATAAACAGAATGTGAGCGAGCGGCGGTCTCAGCTTCCTCTGACGGGCAGGGCTTGTGGTGGTGATGCTGCTGGCCGTCACAGGGTTCGACCACTAGCGGCCGGTCTAAGTGGGTTTTAATGTCGGGCCTTAAGTGAAGGGTCGAGGACATGATGACGCTCTCAGGCTCAAGAACGCTGTATATCGCTTCGCAGCTTGCCTGATTCTGCCTCCTCAGCTGGTTGGCTCTCTGCTCCCACACAGACATAGTCTTCACGGACCTCTGCTGCTCCTTACTGAGGGATGGAAAAGGGAAATAGCATGATCTTAGCCACATTGCTAAATTCTGAATGAACTCTTTACTCAACAATAAACTTTGATCCTCATTTCAGACATACCAACAAAGGAATTTTCAATGTGTACAATGACACGCATGCCATTGTGACTTCTTAATAATTCCTTATGGCATTTAAAACTGCCATAAAGGATCCTATACACATAGCATAGCCAAAGTGCAATGGAGATTTTAACACAGTAAAATAATGTCTATAATTATAACAGTATACCGTTGAAAGAATTTATTCATATATTTCTATCATGCCTGAACTAAAGCTTTGATATACTGTATGTCAAAGCATACAGTATGTGCTCACATTCCTTATTTTGAAATGGTTTCATGAATGCGCTTTTTGTACTCTGTCATTTGAAAAAACAGTTTCGTCTCCTTACTTAAGTTTTGGAAATCGGTTAAAGATACTATAAATGTGGGGGAGGTCAATCTTTTCAATACACGGTGACAAAAGACAAAAGCGTATACATTAGTCGAGAACTCAAACGGACAACATGAATAAACAGAAGAGCCAGTACACTGAGTGGATGAGATGAATTCAAGTCTCTCTGTCTAAGATGTAAATAATGACAACATGATTATGCGTGTTTACGGAAATGCAATCATCATTATTGGTCAGCTTTCATCACACACAGTTTGGTTTTTACCTCAGGTAGTGATGGACTGGGGTGAAGACATAACTCCTACAGTTCAAACATAAAAGGAACAACATTGAAACAAACAAAGGGAAAAATGAGGGGAAATAAACCTCAGAAAACAATGCAGAAGAACATCCAGTAACAATCCTTTTACCAAAAGCATCACATTTCTTAGCAAGGAGTGTGGAAAGTAATGGTTATAAGAAAAGGAAACTAAAAATGATTGACCGTACACGCTTTTACAGCTTTACGGACAATTTGTGCTGCTTGCTATTCTAATCCAACTCAGGCCGCTACGTTTTTTGCCTAATACGTTTACCTTGATATAGCTACATCAAAATTACAAATCAGTAATTATTCTTTAACACTAAGATAATAGTGTGTACACTGTTATATAACCTATGCAGTGGGAACAAATCTCTGACCAGGTGAGCAAGACCTTCTTACTCACTGGCAGTGAAACCATCAGTTTACATTGTATTTCAGCAGATTTAGTCACTCTTTTGGTGCGATGTGTCTTCTGACTGATCTTTTCCTGGGTTGCAAAAGGGGCAGGTTTTAACCAAGTAACACTACTTTGAAAAACAAAGAAAAATAAATTGGATTGATCCATACAGTATGAGTTGGGCCTGGCACCTCCCACCACCAGCATAAAGATTTTTTCTTTGTTTATCAATATTGTTTGTTAGCATTTTAAAAGTCTGTCAAAATGCACGTCACAACATATGTACCATCCTTTGGGATTATATGAGATCATTCCACATGAAAATTATATAAACCATATTGATAAAAATAATTTTTTTAGTAATTACACTTGTTTCACTATTATACAAACAGATTTAGACAACAAATGACAATGTCTGAAAAATAAATGGATCATCATAAATATACATGCTGAATAGTGTAAAACGTTCCTGAAATTGGCCGAGGGAATTTCACTGAAAGGAATGAGAGGTGGAGTTTAGAGAGTCTTTTGCCCCACTGCAATTCAAAGACTTAGTAAAACATAGATAATCTATCCATCTGTTAACCTATCCCAGCTGACATTGGGCAAGAGGCGGGCTACATCCTGGATAGGGTACCAGTCCATCACAGGGCCACACAGAGACAATCAACCACACAAAAGAGTCATATAGAGTGTCCAATTAATCTGGGAGGGAGCCAGAGTACTCAGACACAGGTAGATACATACCAGCTCCCCACAGAAAGGTCCCAGTCCCAGGGATTCAAACTGGGAAGTCTTTTGCTGGGAGACAACCATCAAAAATTGTGCTACATAGAGATTAATACGGAATAAATAAATGACAATTGTACTGACATCGGTTGCAGTGGCTTTTGAAAATGTCCACCCCATCCCTTGAAATGTTTTCTTATTTCTTTGCATCACAACCAGTGCTTTAGTTTCTTCTAAATGTAAAATCTAAAAACCTTTCTGGAAAAAAATTCTATGAATTCCCCAAATGGATCTGGAGCAACACATTACCCTCAGATCAGCATAATGCCAACAAATTTGTACCTATTTAAAGCTACACCTGTGTTAATAATAGTATCTTTTTTCAAAATATCTTATCAGTTGGTCTCTCCATTGATGTTGAAAAGACTACAATTGTTAGAAACACTATAAAACCTTGTTGGACTCGAACCTCCAGTCCATATTAATGCCAATTTGAACGCCATTTCTCTTTGGTTATAAGACAGCAATGGCTCAACCCCAGCTTGGCTTCAGATCGATGATACAACAATTAGGCCATATTCTCTCGCTGCCTTACTATGCGCATCCCTACGTTAACGATGTAAAGGGGACTATGATCATGAATCAATCTCCATCTATTTTTCAACCTTTTTAAGCCATTTGTGCTGGACACTAAATTGTAGGCTTGGCAAATCAGATGTATTTGTAGCATTAAATTAAAAACACACATTAAAAACACACAAAACACACATATATATAGATAGTTATATATAGTTAGTTAGTATGTGTATACATATATACATACACACAGTTAGTTAGTTAGTTAGTTAGTTAGTTAGTTAGTTAGTTAGTTAGTTAGTTAGTTAGTTAGTTAGTTAGTTAGTTAGTTAGTTAGTTAGTAAGTAATAAAAACACACATAACACACACACATATATAGTTTGTTCTTTCGTTCATTCCTGATAGATAGATAGACAGACTGACATTATTAATCCCATGCAGGATATTCAGTTTCAGCACAACCTGGCCCGAGATCCTACGATATATATAATACATAACATGAAAATACAGGAGTATGAGAGTACTCAGGGCTGAAAGTCACAAACGACGAGGCAGTGAGTCAGGGGAAGGTGTGTGAAGTCTGTATTTGTTCATGTAAGCGGGAAGAGGGGTCACATCAGTTCACAGGCATTAGGCCTGAATCAAGTCAGGCACCAAGGGAAATGGCAGTCTTTTACTCCACTCTAATTTTACGAGTGGATTATGAAAATTTCAACACTTATCTCAGTATATCAATCAAAGGATGGTCATCGGGATTCTGAAATATATTCTGTCATTTTATTTTAGTTGACATATCACTCTGAAATGTGTTTAAACCTCCCACAGATAGTATATCAGTAGACTGATCTTTAATTGAATTTAAAAATGGGAAGAAATACAGTACCCTACGTTTCTCTAGGTATTTCTGTATCTGCTAAGTGAAGTTGGGTGTGTGAAATATACGACAAAAAATTGGGGAAGGTGGACTTACGCAGTGATGGAAATGTTAGCTGCGGACATCGGGCTGACCTCCTTTACCTCGTTGGCTTTCTGGAGTGCTAGCTTCTTATTGATGGCCTCCTCCTGTTCTTCTTCATCCTGGGCATTAGGGGCAAAAAGTAGTCAGATTCAGAAAGCCATTTTGATTCTTTAGGCTTTTAAACATCAACCCTGAACCCTGCCATACTGTAAACTCTGACCATATAAACACCCACACAGTTGGTGAAGGTGTTTTTTACATCCATTTCAGCCAGTTCTCCGTCAAGTATCTAGAGGTATGATTAAAAACAGCAAGTCTTGACTTGGTGAGTCTGATGTCATGAAGCGAAAATAAGAAATAAGCAAGTAATGTCTATTGGTGTAAGAAGTCTTGTCCACTTAGAACGACAAATAACCATCCCATGTGCTGATATTCAAGGTAATTTAAAAAGTCACGCACATGCTATAAGGCCAAAAGTATCACACGTCCAAGATAATCAAAACTAAACACTTCAATGGCTACAGGCATACTCCATTTTCACGAGCTCACCGAATTCCAGTGTGATACTTTGGTAAGAAGCTACCTATGTAACAAGTCCAGTCATGACATTTCCTTGCTCTTAGATGTTCCACCATCGACCGCATGGGAACGACAGCAACTCAGCCATGAAGTGATAAGCCACGTAGACTGATGGAGTTGAGGCAGGTGATGCGTAGAGGTTGCAAACTTTCTGCAGACTCAATCGCTACAGACCTCCAAACTTCATGTGGCCCTCAGATTAGCTCGAGAACATTGCGTACAGAGCTTTATAGAACTGGTTCCATTGGCTGAGCACCTGCATCCAAGCCATACATCACCAGCTTTAATGTTAAGTGTCGGACCCAGTGGTGTAAGGCACATTGCAACTGAACTCTAGAGCAGTGGATGAGTGACCAATAATTCCTCTCCATCTGTAAATCTGATGGAAAGGCTGGGTTTGGTTGCCAGGAGAACCGTACTTATCTGATTGTATTGTTCCAAATGTTTGATGAATAGGTATTGTGGTGTCGGGTTGTTTTTAAGGAAATGATTACTGTGAAAGGCTCTCCAAATGCTTCAGCATACCAAGTATGGACAATTCCATGCCCCAACTTTATGGGAAGATTCTGGAGATAACCTTCCAACACAGCTATGCACCTGAGCAAATTACTGGTCTAAAACAAGTTATACAGAAAAAAGAATTTGGTTCAAATTAAAACCTAAATTATTAAGGTTAGGAGCAATTGCTTACATTAACAGTATCTATAATAACATTGGGCTCCAAAATATAATTTTCTTTAATTACTGGCTACCACATTCTGCTTGCCAAAGACAAAAAGAAAGAAAAACTCTCATTATTAATATTTCTACATAAATACACTTTTATTTACACTGAATAACCTATTGAAGTATATTTCTAACAACAATTTCAATAATGATATTTATTATTTTATATAAACCATAAAAGTTCTAATAATTAGCATTTAAGTTATTATTATGTAAAGTAGGTGCGAGTGATATATGAAAAAGAAAACTAAATAGTACCTTTGTGAGCTCCTGGGCATTTGCAAGATTATCCACAGCAATGGCCAAGAATACATTTAGGAGAGTGTCTGGTTGATTGTTTGTCAAGATCAAATCCAATAACAGAAAAAGTAATATAAGTAAGTAGTTATAAGTAATAACAGTTGCACCTGTTTTTTAGTCAATGATAATGTCTTTTACTACGTGATCACTAAGGCAGGATACAATTTCCAAAGAGGGTGAGGACAATGAAATAAATGGAAGAGAACATTCCCCCGCGAACACCCCCTTGTGATTCGATTCCGTGGTACATTACTGCATTCCAGTCCTCACCAGTTAGGATCTGCAAGGAAAACACAGGCTGTTTTCTGATGTCATTTAAAGCAGAAAGCAGAAAAGCTGAAAAAAAATGACAACATGCCATTCACGTTTACCTGGAAAACTGTGAGAATGGCTGCTGGAAACGTGTCAAAGTTGGTTGTTGGTGTTTCATCTTCAAAATTAAACCTGAAGGGACAAAACAGGTATTTGACTGGAATTCAGCTCCATGGCCGTAGCCCAAACTCGTTATCCATCTTCTACCACTTGCCAGCTGTTTATTGTGTCTGTAAAACCAATCAACTGTTTGCGAATCCAGTTATGGTCAGTTTCGGCTGCACAGATGTGCTAATGTCTGAGAGCTTTGATTTGGGACCATATGGATGGCTCACTCTGGATAACAACATAGTTGCTTCCTTACTTTTCAAAGCTAAATTATCATTCATAGGCTGCTTATTCCCTAGTCTTTTCAGCAGCCATTTGAATGAACTTCAGTATCTGTAAATTAACTTTACATAACCCAAAAATTGCAACATGTTGTTGTAAAAATACTGTAAAATACTATAGAATTACAAAAAATGGGACTTATTATATTAAAATGATTATATATGTTTGGATAAAATGAATGGCTTCCCGCTCCTGAAAGTGGGTGAAATTGAATGAGAACAAGTAAATGCTGACTTAGTGTAATTTATGTCCTTTAGTTAACTTACATCCCTTAAATAATGAATAAGGAATGTGCTGACATGCTGTGAATAATACCTTTTCTCAAGCTGAAAAATTACTACTGAGAACAAAAAGAAAGTTTAAAAGCCAATGAAAAATAACTTTTCCTTAAACTAGAGCCCGACACTCCCTACTGCTGGATGAATGCACCAGAATATACTGAAAGAACGCATCAAAAGATCAAGAAACTGGAAAAAGTAGCAACAAATAGCTGAAGAAAACATTCAAATGTGTCAGGACATATTATGGATGAGAATGAGCGATAGTTAAATAACTTCAAGCTTTTGAAAATAAGCGAAAGAGTGGAAGAAAAATCCCCAAATAACAAAAGTGAGTACATTTCTCATTTTTTATCGTAATAGTCAAAATAGTAATGAACATTTTGAGTGGCAAAGCTGGAAGCTCAGAACCATTTAAAGACACGGCAAAGATGAATAAGGTCAAAGGAATAACCGGAAAACTGTTGAGTTTCTGAATGAACAGAGCACAATATGCTCAAGAAACTGTAAAGTCTCATTCTAAAACTAAGTTCAAATTATAAAGGCTGTGAGGTGGATTCGAACCAAGGATTGGTGTCAATACATTGTCTATATGAACAAATGTGTTTTCCAATGCCATGGGAAAAAGACGGAGGTACATCAAAAATACATTCGTTGGTCATCCAAATATGGATAACAAAGAGACGGTTTATAGGCGGGTTCATAGTGGGTGTCGAATTACATTTCATATTTCTTTGGCATTATTCAATCGCTTTGGAAAAACTTAATTCAGGAAAGAGGAGAGCAGTTTAGAAAAAAATGCTTTCCATCCCTGTGTGGTCAGAGCAGAGCATTCTGGGTAATGTTGTTGTCCTTCTACTTCACTCAGCCTACAGAAGGTTCACCCCAAATCTAATGGTTGCTGTTCCAAAATGAATAATCATATCTGAAAAACTCTTAATTTATTTCATGAAATTGAGTTTGACCGTATCTGAAATCATATCTTTAGTTTAAGAATGCTAAGAGGAAGATTTAAAAGAGTTAGCAGGCAGGTGTTAAACAGAGGTAGAAGACAAAAAATATGTTTTTGGATGATAGTAATCATACACTGCAAAGTAAAATCACAGTCAAAGAAAGATACAAATCATTAGTAAATAATAATACAATGGGACTAACCTTTTTTTAATTCTCTAAAACAATAGTAAAACATGTTGAATGACCTAAAGAGCCAATGCAACCCCGGATGTCACCACAGCTCAGTTTATAGAGGGCACTTATCTTTTTTTTTTAAATGTCAAAAAGAAAGAAATACTCACTGGCCACCAAACAGCTGCATGCCAAGCAAAGCAAAGACCACGATGAAGAGAAAGAGCAGGAACAACAGGCTGATGATGGACTTCATGGAGTTGAGCAAGGACACCACCAAGTTCCTCAAAGAATTCCAGTACCTAGACAAAAAATGTTTTTTTTAATCACAGCATATAAAAAAGTCTAAAAAGTTTTTAACAAAGACACAGAGTGCCTTCACTCACTTTGTGACTTTGAAGATTCTCAGTAGTCTCAGTGCTCGCAGGACACTTATACCAAAAGAGGCTCCAGGTTTGATTGCTGCCCAGATGACCTCAAATATACTGCCGATAATGACCTGTAAAAAGAGACTGATAAATCCTGCAGGCCGTCTAGTGTCTTTAAAAATTCGGGATCTGTTTTAAATTGTATGTATGTCCCTTCCCATGCCCATATCTTTCAACATCCACAGTCAACTGATAGAGCTCCCAGCAGCAAAAGACAACTCACCCCAAAGTCAAAACAGTTGAAAGAAGAGTGAAAGTAGTTCTGGGGTCCAAGGCCATACATCTTTATGGACATCTCAGCCAAGAACAGGCCCAAAAACACAAACTCTGCCAAGTCTGTGCAAAGGGAATAACAAAAAAGCACAGATCAATGTCTTGTTTATGCTTGTTCAGTAGCAGCCATGGCAAGTAACAGTGGTTTCGAGAAAAAAAAAACTAAGAATAACATGAAATTGAATATATAGATCTAAGTATATAGATATAAATATAAACGTGTAAAGAGGTGAATAGAGATTTACACTTTAACATCCTGCTCAGCTATTTGGTAGAGCAAATTTTTTACTGATTATAGGCAGTCAAAGAAAATACAAGAGGAAGTCCACATACCTAAACTAGCTCTAAAATTAAGTTTAATTTAAGTTTGATGCCCCAAGCTTGAGCTATGACATTTATTTTTTGTGAAAAAAGCATTGATTTGGTTTATTGCTCCAATGCAATAACAAAATGCAAAGAAATATTTTCCTCTTTTCTAAATGTAGACGTTAAAGGGTTAAGTGGTACTAAATAACTTTATAACTAATTCCTTTGGAACCTCAAACCATCATCCTCTTTACAGACTTATGAAGTAATTATGAATTAATTTACCCTGTAACAATTAATAGTAATATACAGGGCTTGAAAGAAACTCAGCACATTACTCCAAACAGACCCGTATTAAATTTAGCAGATTTTCTGTTCAGCATCTGCCACTTTTCCAATGAATGTAAGTCTCTAAGAATTATATCGTCAAATGCCTCTTAGTAGTAGTAATAGTAGTAGTAGTAGTTATTGTTTGTGTATATTTTGAAAAGGCCATAATTAGAAATGTCCAGTGCCATCGGTAAATCTGTGGATAACTTTCAAAAGATGATCCCATTCAAACCAATGACTTGTTGCTTTTTTACTAAAAGGACATACTGATATAATGGGCATTACCTCCCATAATTTGTGTAGAAAATGCTTTAGTTGAATTTTTCTTTACTTTTGCTAAACAAATGACAAAGAAACTTCTTTTCAATTTGCCACTTCCTATTAAGCAATAACTTGCCTAACTTGAAAGGAGGATTCTGTATTATGGAAGATTTTATAAATTGAGAAATCTGTAAGTTTACTTAAAAGTTATCCATTAAAATACATTTTCACTGGAACTCACATAATGCATAAGTTAGCCACTCTGGCTGGTCATAGTGTACTATGGCAACACACAATGTGTTGAGGCCGACAAGACACAATACAATCCAGTAGAAGCTCTGGGACTTGACTAAATGGCGGATGGTAAAACGAATCCTCTTCTCTTTCCTCTTCAAGTACGACGAGCTCTCGTTCTTGCTTTTCACACTACCCCGGGCAAACGGTGACCCTGGGGGAGCAGTTGGAACAAAACAAACAAAGAGGAAATAAATATACTAGTTCCGGAACAAAGTCATTTCCCAAATGATGCAACCTTGCAATTTACAGTTATGTCTTTGAAGACAGATTCATTTGACAGTTTGAATCATTTTAATTTACAACTATATATTGTATGCAAGACTGTGCTTCAACTTCAAAGTAAACTGAAGATATTAGGGAACAATCAGGCAGAATGTAGAAACATGTCTCTTATATTGCATTTGAAATGTGATGTTTCATATGAAACCAAAAGAATTAACCTGCACCAATGGCTTCTAGCTATTATTATTCTGTCATATCATCATAAAATCTTCAATACATTTTCTGTACCGCTTATTCCCAATGCGGTTGCGGGGTTGCACTTCATAAAATCTTGTATAAAACCACCATCTTCTTAATAACCTATGCAACAGCAGATCCATTGTGCATTTCATAGCATACAGGTATTTTTGGCCCAACTTGATCTTAAGAAATGTCTTGAGAACAAATGGTTTAGTGTTTTTTCGGGAGTCAGTTTCAATCTCAGTCTCACTTCGGCTCCAAAAAAGCAGAGAGAAACTACTAAAGGTACAAGTTTTGCATGTATTGGATGATAAATATGATATCAACTCATCTCTTGTGACTATTTAATGATCCAACACTAAGATAATTGAACTTGAATCATTTTTTGTGATGCAGTTTTGCATCACAGCAACATTCCCTTCTTTCATTATGTGTCTGTAGGCTGCTTTGAAAACTAAAAATGTTGAAACATGGCAGATGGTACGCATTGTGTAGTCACTCACCAACAGACGAGATATCTGTGAAGTGGTCCTCCCCTTCTTCTGTACTGATGAGGTCATTTTTACTCCTCTTAGTCCTTTTCAGCACTTCAAATAGAAAATAGAATGTATCAGTCTTTTGAATTATTTCTTCTTTTGCTCCCTAAAACAACACTTTGAGCTGTTCAGCCCCTCCATCATCCGTTTTCGTACTCACTTATATGGAAACGGTGTAGAAAGAAGTTATTTTTAAACATAGAACTAAGAGAATTTGTTGAGAGATTCATGAAAATGATACAGAAATTATTTCATTCCTTTACTTGGCCAAACTTCAATGCATGCAACTCTTGTTTTTTAGACACTCAAATTGGTCCTGCTGGTGTATCTGAGTTGCACTATGTGAGTTAAAGTTAGTGATTTCAAGAGAAAATGTTGTACAAAATGCTAAACACAACAGAGAATTGAATCGAGCATCTGTTTTTTCTTCAGACAGTCCTCACCAGAGTTGTTGGGCTTCCTTTTGTACCATGCTCCATCCAATGATTTCTCTTCTGCATTCTCATCCTCCTCAGCCAGCATAACCTCCTCTGAAACAAAAATACTACACTTAAACTAAAAATGGTCAGAATTTGTTAATAAGTTTTATTCTAAAAAATATGAGTGCTTTTGTTTGGATTGAATTTTAATGACTGAATATAACAGAGTCCTAAAATATCATTATTTATTTCATTATTCATATAATTGCATTATTTTTGTACCTGCTTTGCATATCCATTCCAAATAACCTGTTAATTCTCTTTCGATTTGCTGTTGTCGACGGAGTTTTAGGAATTCTTGCCTCTTCTCCACACGTTCCCTCTCCTTTGCAAACTCCCTGCAGAAATCATGAATACGAATACATAAAAGAAATGTTAAATCTTACAAACACAGAACCTGAAACACAGAACAGTTTATAGGTAGATTCTTTCAAGAATGTCTCATTGATCTGTAATCTAACGTCACTGACCTTTTCTAAGACCTTTAAATCTTAAATTGACACAATTACTTTCAGACAAGAAGGGCACACTGGTGTGGTGGTTAGAGCCAGTGTGTAACAACAAGGTTCCTGGTTTAAGTCCCCGGGGGAACCTCAACCTTTTCTTTGAGGAGTTTGCATGTTTTCCCATTATCTGTGTGGGTTTCCTCTGTGTACTATAGCTTCCTCCCACCATCCAAAAGATAGCTTTTGTTTTTACAATTTACATGTAGTAAAAATCGAAATTGTAAAACATATTACAATGATTATATTATCATTATATTGTTTTTCATAATTCATAAATCATCTAAATTTTTGCAAAGTTTATCTATTCCTAAATCATAAACTTGCCAGTCTGTACATATTAAGGCAATTCTTATGCTAAAATCACATCCAAGCACCATAGAATAATGTACAGCAAAACATTTAAATGTCTTTAACCCTTTAAAGCCTGATCCAAAAATAAAACAAAACAGAAAATGACTTTTTTTTTTGTTTGAATTCCTTATTTGGCCTTTTAACAAAATATGTAATAACAAAAAACAAAAAGAAAAATGTAATATTAATAATCTATTACTATGCAATAAGTCAAGATTATTTTTTGTGTGGTCTTCTGCCCCCTGTTATCAGGTGTATCTGATTGTGTACAATAGGATTTTGAGCAAAGTTTTTATCATTAAATTATGCAAAAGGTGTCAGACGCAAAACATTCCAGAAACCGTAAGTATCAAATATGATACATTTGGCATTACAGGGTTAAAAAGACCTGTATTTACAGATACTATATATAGTTGGCAGATAAGTATAAATAATAAGTTTGTGTCATTCCAGTTCAATAAGTGGGTTAAATATGCAGCGGATGAGAAGGGGATAAAGAAGGGAAGAGGAGGTTGAGAGTAGTGATGTGATGGTCTGTATGATGATAATGATGACGTCCAAAGTGTGACCAATTCGGATTTTGATGCGAGTTTTGACAACGATAAACCCTCAGGCTCCATTAAAAATGTAAGTGTTTGATGGAGAGTTGTGGTCAGTGAGAGTTTGGAGACAGTTTTTACACAGTTAAAGATATTTTGGACAAACATGATTTAGAGAGAGTCCAAAAAATACTTGATATACAGTATATATATATATACATATAAATATGTACACACACACACACACACACACACACACACAGTATACTGCTATCATTACAATATATATGATTCACATACTTAATTTTTCTGACTGTTATTCAGAGGCTTTCTGAAAAAAAATCCACACACTTCAAATTCATGCCAATTGATATTTTTGCGTCCAGTAGATGTCCGACTAGAGCAAATGAAGCTTCAAAAAGGTTTGCGCCGGACTGAACCAAATGGATGAAAGGTTTCATGAGCTTCATCTTCCCATCACTAGTTGAGAATGATTAAGAAAAGAAGGACAGAAAAAGAGAGCACATCGGTTTCTTTAGTCCACCCCTGCTTCTCACAACTGGCTATTTCCCTCGGAGGTTGAGGGGAAAGCTCTTTTCTGCGTGGCATTGTCTGCTTGCCTTCCTTTCTGCATGTTGTATGTGTCTGCCCGTGTGTCTCGAAATCTAATTTTGTTGAACAGATGCTTCTCTATTTCCTGCTTCTGAAGAGTGCAGACTTGTCTCAGCTTGCTCTTGTCGCTTTGCATTTTTACTCCCTCTTAACCCCTGTAAGACCCACTGTTGAAGAATTACAACAATTCTTTGTCACCCCAAAAAATAACCCTTTTTTAAATTCTATTTTTGGTTCAACTGCATTAAATGCTTTTAAGTCATTCTACTTTCCCCCCTAAAGCCTTGGATATAATTTTCCTTAATTTCCCCAAGAGTTTTTGGGTCATTTGTTTAATTTTTAAGAGGCTCAGCGGACTTACTTACCAGGAGCTAACATCATCAGCGGGGTGCCCCACTTTTTCCGAATCTCCTTCAGAAAATCAACATGCTGGAAACCAATATCCAATGAATAGAGGTAAATGTGGAAGTAAATGGAATATCCGGATACGATTCAACTTTCCCTCTAGTTAAACATCATGGACATGATCCTGCTAACAGTTAATCTGCACTTGCAAGGCGGATTGTAAACGGGAGGTAACAACTACTCAATGCGCTTGATGGAAAGCCGAAGAATGAAACATCTCAAAGAAAGAAGACAGAACAAGCCCTGCCCGGTGTGTCTGTGATGTGGCCAGCTGACCAGTAGTTAGCAGGACACAGAATTGGGACCACTGTCAAAAAAACCAAAAAAGAAGCCTCCTCCCCAAACACTACAGAACAGATTTGAAGTGCTACAGAAATCTGGATCTCCATCTGATCCACAGGGGACCTGAACGTGCACGCACCCCGAGATAAGCATTGCAAAGCACACAACGAGCCAACACACAACGGAGGACACACACCATATGTGTCCCGGGTCCCCCAGGGACTCGAACCAGGAACCCTCTTGCTGTGAGGAAACACCACACCACCGTGTGTACACTAAGATCATATGGTAAAAGTGATTTAAGGTAATTAACAACATATAGAAAGCTGGAAAACCAGCATCAAATATGCTACATACAGTAGACACTTATATGTACTGTACCTCCAGAAAGGTTTGGCTCATTCTGTCATAAGGTCATGTGACAGTGTGTACTCACCCTGACAGAACGCCTAGAACCAGATTGAGCATGAAGAAGGAGCCAATGATGATGAGGGGGATGAAGTACAGCCAATTCCAAGTGTTCCCTGAAGCATCATTTGCCTGTACAATGTACAAACAGAAAAATATATATCATCAGGTGCCCCAAAACACTAACTGATCTAGCACAAGTAAATGTTACTTCTGTTATCAGACTCACATTGTAGAGGATGTCCACCCATCCTTCCATTGTGATGCACTGGAAAACAGTGAGAATAGCGAAAAGGATGTTGTCAAAATTGGTGATACCAAAGTTGGGTCCAATCCAGTATTCCCTACAGATAGTGCCGTTGCCACAGGTCCTTGCTGGAGCCTCCAGGCCACAAGGAAAATCTGCTGCCAGCTCATCTACATCCACAAACAGACACATTTACACAAAAACACACTGAGATACTTTCAAAGATAAAGCAAAGAAAGACAAATATGAACCTCTGCATTTGTTGACCTTTTCTACCTATGCTGTTTCTGCTTTGTGTCAGCTCACTAAACACACTATTGGCAAATTAACTGTCTAGTCCTTGTTTGTGAAAAGTCATTCTTGTTTGAAGGAATTTCTGAAAAGTAAAGAATCTAATGTATTTCTTGTTGTTGTAAGTTATGTGATACCTCCTATTTCATATAGTTGAAAGGCCAGATAAAAAAAATAGATTCACACCAAATTAATTAATAAATTGATCAAATGGAATAAAATTTGAGAAAAATGCCATTACTTTAAATTTGGGGAAAAGGGAAAAAAAGGGAAAAAGGTACAATGATCAAATCTGATAAAAAAAACTAATCGAAACAAATGTTTCAATCTGTCAATCTCACATTGTTATACGAAGCCACAGTAGTTGTGTCAGCTAATAGTTTTGTTCCAACAGAAGATCATGAGAAAATTTGATTATCTGGGAGGTGCCAGTAAGTAGAGCTGAAAGAAACTAAAATAAATCCTCTTTTTTTTAAACTTACTTGTGTCTGTCCTGAAACATGTTCGATGGAATTTTCCCATGTAGAAATCAAGGCCAATAATGGCAAACATGAGGATGGCAAAGAAGAGAAGCAGGCCGATCTGTAGCAAAGGTACCATAGCTTTCATGATGGATTTTAAAACCACTTGGAGACCTAAAAAAACAAAACAAAATACAATCTTCTTACAATCTTTAAAAAGACATTTGAGAACAGAAGACCTGAGTCAATGAATATCAATAAAGTGTGTCAACAATTCAAAACCAGAGACAAAAATAATCAAAATCACAACTCGAGTTGCACAAATAGTATAGATTATAAAACTTAATGAAGAAATTTCAGAATTATGATTGTTTAAACTGATTAATTTAAACTTGCTGAGCTACAGAGCTTATGGCTGATGTAATTTAAGAAAACAAAACTACCAATTACTAACCAGTACAAAAGCAAATCACAAAAGTCCTGGCTCAAACAATGTTATTTCTTGTTGATTCACTAAGCTGTGTTCATAGATTTTTCCTACTGTGGTTTTCAATGGTCATATACAGTAATATTATCGGAAACCTTACTTGGAATGCCGGAGACCAGTTTTAGGGGTCTCAGTACTCTAACTGCCCTCAGTGTTCTCAGATCAAAGTCAGCCCCCACGGTGGCCAGGATCCTGCACACGACACAACGGCAATATTATACGGTTTTCAGTTTACAACATCTTTTAAGTGTTTACCTCCATTCTGTTCATAATACATAAACTTAAATGAATGAGAAGAAACTACACAATTCAAGCTCACAGGACACGTTTAATGTTCTGCTCAGTGAATCATTAAAACAAAATGAATGACAAAAAATATTAAATAAAACAAGGAAAAACACAGCTGAATAAAAAAGCACCAAAAGTTAAGTCGAAACTTTTGATTGGTAGTGTAATTGATAATGCAAATTTAACTAGAAGAATTAATAGTACACCTGGTAGGCGAAAGAAAAAAAGGATAACCCAAATTTCCAATGTTTAATGTCACATACCAATTTAATATTCTGGCTAAATGCACTTTTTTAGCTGGTATGTTGGATACTGAGTGCAATTTTCAGTTACAACTAACAAGGCGTGTGGTGTCATCTGCACCCAGGCTTAAGATAAATTACGACATTTCCGTTATATCTATTGCACCTCTAACATGCATCAAACACTGTAATATCTCTCTACTCTGTAGTAAAACAGAGTAGTGCTTGAAATGCTATTTTTTTCATCAATTAGTCAAGGGCTACACCAGAAAATGTTCAAAGCAAAAATGATTTTAGTCATTTGTATACGCGAATAAATATTGAAAATGTACAGCTAAGGCTGACTCCTCCAGTATCCTTTCAGTTTTGGGGCTTCCCTCGAAGCAAACAAAAGTGCCAGCAAGGAGTCATGCAGGGATTCACGGTTAGTAACTGAGTGGCGACAGCACCGAGACCTCTGTGGGATCTCACCACTCCCTGACAACCAACTCCCAGATCAATCAGGTCTCTGCAGGAGGGGGTGTTGGTGGTGGTTAAGAAGAGGGGAGGCATAAGCCTCCTACCAGGTCGCTCTATCTGTTCACACATCAGTCCAAACTATAAATAATAAAAAGACACATCCACACGCAAGTTGTCCCTCTGGCTCTGTTACATTCTGTATATCTTCTTTTTTTTCTTAATGAGCTGTAGTTGGCTGATGAGGGATTTCTTCCTTCTACAAAATTAAGGCATCACGTAAAGGAAATGGCCTTGGTTTTTACAGAATGCCGGCTTTTCTGCAAAGTGATCAAGCCATTGGCATATTTTTTCCCTCTCTATGTGTAATTTTGCATAACAATAACCATTTTCCTAATAAAAATTACAGAAACTCATTGAGATGAAAATACAGTTAAATGCAAGTTCCGGGATACCTTCTGGCGACTTTGGTTCTAGAGTTTGTTAGGTAGGGCTTGTTGTTTTGAAAAAGCATCCATAAGTCCAGGGGAACTTTTTTCTTTTTCTTTTTTCAGTCAGTGACTCAGCTGGTGGAAGACCACACTCCCCTAAAATGCTCTGCTCCGCACATGCGTAGAGTGGAATGTCTTTTTTTGAACCCCCAAACGGGTCTTGTCCCCTTTTCTCCAAACACTCAAATCTGTCCTTTGCTCATTCGCCAAAATGTGACTGCTAATCCATGCATACACTCAATGTGATGAAACGAAAAATAGTGCACCGATCAAAAGACGATCATTAAAAGAAGTCTGTTTTTTAGTCTTGGGCCACTCAAGGCACTATTTGACTATTATTTTCTATTGATTTCTGTTGTATTCTCCAAAGTGTATCACTTCAAAAATGATGATTTCTGAAGTGATACATGTCCCACTTCATCCAGTGGCAGCTGATAAGATACATTAACTCTATTACCGTGTATGTTATTGTAACCCTAAACATACCAGCAATTCATTTTTACATGTATCCCTACAGAACTCATATTACAAACAGGTTGGCCGGATGAATTCTCTCCAGAAATCCTAACAGCTAACCATCAGAGACAAACTGATGGGGTTTTTTTTACGCAGCACACACAGGAAATGGACATCCCGGTGAAGTGATGTGTTACATTGTGTGCACATGCATATCTCGGCATTCTATTTACAAGCGCACAGCAATAAAGGCGCATCATGGACTGTACATAAGTGATGCTATATCTACTCTACTACACAGCACAAAGCCATCAATGCCGCGTGGCACTGATGAGCTGTCCAGACCGCTTCTGTAATGGCCTCCGTCCAGGGCCCAACACTTTCACGTGGTCATCGCGCACATCTGCTGAGCTCCCATTTAGAGCTCCAATTTAGAGCTCCAATTTAGAGCTCCAAGACCTGCTATGAGGCCACTTATCAACACACAACTTCAAGACTGATCCCTCTTACATACAGGAACCAACAACCGGTCAGCAATTGTCACCTATAGACTCACATCTGACATAGAAATACCCACATGGACTCACATAGTTGATGAAAAAAAAACAAATATCAAGGAAATGTGCAGATCTTTAGCCTTTTTGCTATTATTTTTGTCATTTAGTGTACAAGCAATAGTGCGAAACACATTATGAAGTTCTATTAATACTATTATTCCACCATTTTGAGATATTACATGTACCCCTGTGGACTACTGAAGAGTCATATATATGAATGGAGACATCATTTTTCTACAACTTCAACTTTCTGAGTCATGCAAAAGAGCGAGGGTTTCAATAATGTGGCAGTCCCCTCATTTTTGGGTGTCTGGATGCTATATAAACATCATGTTTGCACTTGGCCAAGGTATAACATGCATTGATGAAAATTTCCTTCACATAGTCATAAGCCTTACAGAATACAGCGCTATCAACTGTACTATTATATTTTATTTCTGTATTATTCTTAAGTTTTTAACATAGGATGTATTAGTTATTGTACGAGTGGGAGGAGGAAGCATAAGAGTCCAGAGATTCTTTACTCATGTAAATGTTTTTATGGCAGATAATACTTACTACTGAGCCATAATGTTGTAAGAAGTATATCTGATTTTTTAACTGAGGTTATTTTAAATACTTGTAAGTAGTACGTATTCTATCTGATGAAACATTCAGCACAATCTCCAGCTAGTGAAATGTGAATTCTTCCATTCTAAAAAAAACTAATAACCCAAATTTAATATCACACTATAACCAGCACACAGAAAACATTTTTTTCTTTGTTATATTAACGTTTGTTTTGTTTTAATGACCATAAATAGTGTAGCTGTCTTGTTCCTAAATTTAATTTGTGTAATCCTAAAGAGCAGTAAAAAAAGATCTGTTTTAAGTGTTAAGGAGGCTGTAATCTAACAGGACTGTTTTCCTATGGGAGGGCAGTTAATGTCTGGAAAATTGAGTAATTCTGAAAGATATATGTAACCCAGGGTAAAAGATTGTCCCTAATCCCGCCTTTCCTGCTCCATTGGTTAGAGTGACAGTCAGTCACACAGTGCATTCAGCCAATCACTGCATTTTGAGTGGGTAATCAGGCCTGCTCCAGCTTTCCCTGTCAGGTGTGAAGGGGAGAGCTGGAGACAAAGGAGCTACAGGTTTGTTCTTCCAAACAATTAGTTTATCTCTTTGTTTATTATGCACTTTTTACTCACAATATAAAAAATCATGTAGATCTCAACATCCAGTGAGCTTGGAGCCGTGAAGTTGTCATGCACTGAACTATATATGGAATTGGTGAGTAATGAACACAAATTTTGTTTGTTTGGTTGGCATGTTGGTGGTGGTAGCCAATGCTAATTGTTTGATCATCAATTGTAACTTCTTAAATTCAATATGTGTTTAAGATGAGGTAAATGCTGATATATTTATTAGCTTGTGGATATAAATGCATTTATTTCTGTGTATAATATCTGGAAAAGTCTAGTTAACTAGCAGGCTGGTAATTTACTGGTCCTGTTTATTTTAATACAGGCCAGGTGATCCCTTGGTAGGGTCAAAGGATGGCGAGCTTCTGACAACTGGCTGGAGCCAGGAGAACCTTAAACCTCACTCTATACTGGTCTGGTAGGAGTCTGATGGTCCACAACATTTCCCCTCCATCTCATTATAAAGACACACAATTCATTATTCAACTCTTCTCTGGTGGAATTGCGCTTGGACATTTTCATCTCAAACAATTGGACAATTACATTATGGACTTTTAAATGTGTGTCAGTCAGACAATGTGCTGAATACTGGGGAAAGATAGGACTCTTTGTGCACATTTATATACAAGGTTTACTGCAGTATTGTGTATGTATATATTTAATGTCTTTATTTTTGGGTTTTCATGTATGTTTGTGTCTTGGGGTGTTCACTTATTTTTCCTTCTTTAAAATACATAATATTGAAAGCAGTTATTCTTTTGTATTGTTTTTATTGATTACTGACAACAGCTCCAGTAGATGAACCTAACCTTCTGGTATTATATGCCATCTAGTCCTTTACCTGCATTAAATAGTGTTACATATATCTTTTTTATTTATTTATTTTTTTACAACATATTAGGTATTCAGCACTGATGCTCACAAAAATGTTTGCCGTCCAATCCAAGTCATTCCATAAAACAGACCCAAGAAAAAGTCCTTTAATATTCCCGTCGAAGCGTGTATTCTAAATTTGCCAACTCAATTGTTGATAAGGCTTAACCTTATATGCCGTGCAAGAAATAAGATGTACTTGCAAATGACAGTGACTTTATTTTTTACATTTCTGCTCGTTTGCAACTAAACTGATTTGTGCTGCTGCTGGTAGACAAATATGGTAATTAGTGGATGCAACAATTATGATTTATGGATCAGCAAACTTCAGCCCTCCAACTTTTTAAACTGTGATTTGTTACATCAAGTAAATAAAGCTGGTATATGAAACCTAGTTTGGAATTGTATGTATTTAAAGACACTTTGGCCTCATTAAAGTTTGGCGCTCAAGTCAAAGGGCTTTTTAAGACAACTTCCTGTTGGCCAACATGTTGTATATTACTGTGACAAAAACAAAAAAACTCAGGAAAGGCAATTACAATTGTGCGAATAAAAATAAATCAAAATCAATAACTGAATGAAGAAAACAAAATAATCAAAAGTTACAAATGAATGTTTCTGTATGTTATTTGAATACTCCCCCTGGAGGTAAATGAAGACTATATAAAGGGTGTGCACGTGTGCATTATTCCAGCAAACAATACTTATTTTAATGGTTGGCATTTATTACATTTTCCAGTGACTACTCACCCTTGTTTACAACTAATGGAAAAAATGCCACAGCGACTCCCCAGTGGGTGGGGCGGACCCATTAATGAGGGGTTTGGGAATTGATCTCCAGTCTGTTTATTGTTGTGAAGTTCCTGACACAAGCCAAAGATGGTCCACATAATTCTGTGGCATTATGTAAGAAGACAGGTTTGGCAGCTCTCTGCTGAGACCGGCGGTCTCTCAGGGTCTGTCTGCAGTGTAACAGAATTCTCCTTCATTACTCGCGCTACTCCCCGCCCGACGGCTTTGTTCTCCATCTCCCCGAACACCAACACGGCTATTCCGAGACTGCCTTTCTCACCCACTGCCTAGAGATGTTCTCTGTTTACACCACAGGCTAACGATTAGAAATATGATTCAACCCTCCCAAAAATTACAGCAGGTTTGTAGCTTTTATTCATAGGAATAATTACTGTTGTTATTATTATTACAATTTTGAAGGCATAGTAGGTCTTGTTTCATTATTCTATACGAAGTAAAAAATCCAATAATTTGTAAAAGAAAAATAAAGAAAAAAGGCTTAAAAAAATAGAAAAGCAAATGCAATCTACATGTGAAATTGATATATGAAAACATCTTCCACAGACCTGGGGCTTAGGGCCTTAATTCATCTAAGGCTTGAGACCTTATTTTTTATTTTATTTTATTTATTTATTTATTTATTTATTTATTTATTTATTTATTTATTTGTTTGTTTGTTTGTTTGTTTGTTTGTTTGTTTGTTTGTTTATTTAATTATTCATTTTAGAAATAACCTTTTCATCAAACTGAAGCCACAGCATAAGCTCCAAATTGTACTAACGTGACTTGTGAAGATTAGAAATGACATTATTCTATAGCATATTGGCATCAACCATTAAAATCCTCTATTGTGAGGAACACTTCAGTGAAATCCAACCATATAGACTACAACACATAATGAACTGATAGCTAGTAAAAAAAATAGGATAAACGTCTGAAAAATAGTTTAAATTATTACGATATATATACATATATGTATATATCTGAACACTCGTCATAAGACACTAATGTGTCAACCGTAATTATGAGTCTGGGTACAAAAACATTTGAGGGCGTGCTTAAAGAGCTTAAACTGCCCATGTTTGTTCGTATCAGCTGCCGGCAAAGTTGACTAGGCTGATAGCTGGTCAGAAATGACCAGTGACCAGGTGTGGACCCCCCTCTAAACAGCTTGGTGCGCCCCTCAGTGTCATAATATGGTGAGCCAAGTGACCTGTGGTTGTTGCTCGAATGTGGAGAAGACAAATGAGATAGTTGTGGACTTTAGGACCCCCCCCCCACATCAAGTGCACCTCCTACAGGGGGACTATGGACTGACTTCTGGGCAGAGACTGCGTGGTCACTGGCTCAAAAGCAGCCGACTGAGAGAAGACAGCCTCTTCCATCAGGCTGTCAGAGCACTCTACTCTCCCCCCTACTCTCTGCCCCCACTTCCCCCGCCGCCCCCCCACACACACAAACACTAGACTCTAACATCCCTCCACTCCCAGACTATCCCAGGACTGTTTATGCACTCATGCACATGCAACCAGGTTTATAAGCCGACTATATTTATACTGCTCACCTCATTCTGTTTCACTGGTTATAGTTTATTTATTTGTATTTTATTCTTCATTCAAGACTGTTTATATGTATATTTTTTACTTTTATGTTAAAAGACTACTTTTATATTATTTTTTATTTTGTAATTCTGATTTATTTAATACACAATAATTGTGTAAAATGTACTTTTTCTCTTATATTAAGGCTTTTAAAACTCAGTTTTTTTACTGCTTATTCTGTGTGTTCCGGGATACCGATTCACAAAATTTCAATATGTCTGCGTATGTATTTGCGGAATTGACAATAAAGCTCACTTTGACTCTGACTTAATGCAAACAATGCAACCTTATCAAGCCCGTTTACTCAGAAATGAAAAAAAATACACCCAGCCATCTGCGTTACTTTCCCCGTTTTGATCATTAGAAGTGCAATACCCACAAACACACACACACAAACACACACATGCACGCACAAAAAGCACTCCCCTCATTAATGGCTGCAGCACATCAACTCTGTCTGTTAGCAACCGTAGAAGCCATTAGGCCAGCGCTACTCACCCTGTTAAGACCACCACAAAGTCCATTACATTCCAGCCATTTCGCAGGTAGGAGCCTTTGTGAAATGCAAAGCCCAGGGCAATGATCTTGATGCCCGCCTCAAAACAAAATATTCCAATAAAGTAGGGCTCAGTGTCGTCCTGTCAGGAAGACAGAGAATAGAGTGAGGTGGATTCAATAAAGAACGAACTTTGGTCATCTTTGTCAGACACAGATTGTTTTTTTAACCCTATAATGGCATATGTATCATATTTGATTAAAAAAAAAGGTTTCTGAAATATTTTGCATAATTTAATGGTTAAAAACTTGAAGCTTCAATCACATAAACCTGATAAAACTGGGCAGATGACTGCACAACAATCATTATGACTTATCTTACTGTAATAATGATGTACAAATTCATGTAAAAATGATATTTTCTCTCTATTTTTCTTGGATCAGGCTTCTGTATATGTACAGTATATATATATATACTGTACATATACAGAATTATGCAAAAATGTGTTACTGCCACCTCAAGTATTGAGTAAACATGGACTCACTATGTTTTGTGGGATTAGAATGAACTCTTCCAATAAACCTTTACATTTTGTAACATAAATTCTAGTAAGATATGCCATTGGTCATGTAAATTTGTGGTTAATCATACAATCTGCCATCAGTCTGATTCAGCCCAGTTGGAACCCTGCCCAAGTACTGGGCATAGGGAAATTCTAACAGTTAAGAGCAGCCAGTTCTAACTGGAAATGCCCAAAAAGCATGTATAGTTAAGCCAAGTTGAGAAGATACTAATGGTAAACCCTCAAACCAATCAAACTGTCAATTTGTTACAATTTAGAATAAATATTCATCGCTAACTACGTTTTCGGTCGGTGAGAAGAGGCCAGAGTACCCCCTCAAAAATGAGCAAAAGCATCAACCGGTAACATCTTGGAGTAGGAGTACAGGCACAGAAAATGGGTCGCGCTTACCAAACGTTCCGACATCGGCGTTTTGTCGGATGCCGGGAGATGTTGCTCCAAGGCCAGCACTATACAGTTCGCAATGATGGTAGCCAGGATCATGTACTCAAAGGGAGTAAGAGCGTTAAGGAGGTTTTGTGGAAAGAAATTTTACAAGCTCCAATACTAACACTGCATGTTCTATATACCTCCAGCTACAGTGACATTTCCTATCCTATATATGTATTTATATACTTTTTTTTTCACCTAACTTATTCATTCGGACACTGTTTTGTCTTGGTTTAAAAAATAAATAAAAAACAGAACTTATTTTTATCATAATGGAAGACAACACACCAAAAGTCAACAGGGCAGAGCTCAAAGGAGCAAAAATGTACAACAAACAGGGGATCCTACATCCAAACCGTCTTCCACCTCTATTTTGCATCACGCTGTTTTTCAAAGATTTACTGAAATATCGCACAATATTAACTAAAGGTCTCAATTTGGTCTCTCTCATAATCCATTGTGCGATGAAAAATGTTCTTAACTGAGGCTTAATTGCTTAATTTGCTGGGCATGATCTTAAAACTCAATCCCATACTAAGATAACCTGATGATATTAGCATTTTTTGTTTGTTTTTTAATGGTTATAGTTACTTTAGACTACAGACTGAAAATTTGTAACAGGTAAACTTAAAATTATGTATGACTTTCTTTTTTAAGTCCCCATTTAAATCTTATGCATGCTCTGCTACCTTGTTAATATTTAAATTTCACATAAATTTTACATATTAAAGAAAAAGGACAGTTTTTGCTTATTTATAAGGAAGGTTTTCATCAGATAAGTGGCCATTTTTCTTCTGCTTGCAATTGACCAAAGCGTTTTCATTTGGACTACCATTACAACACCCTCTGAAAGCACTTTTCTGCCTATGCTAGGAATGAGATTACCATGAGGGATAGAGGCAATAAGCAAAAGCCACCGGGACCCCAAACGCCCGGGGCCAAAAGGAGATAGTTCACCAACACAATGCAAAAATCAAAGCACAAAGAGAGAGCAAACCAAACAATTAAGCAATGGGGACACAGTGAGATAAATGGAATGAACCAGAACATTGCAAACTCATTCTATGGATTGCTAAAGCAGTTAACCACATGCAAAGCGCTCGCTGGGTTTCAGAGTTGTCTCTTTGGCTTCAGGCCCAGGTTTCATGGCTGAAGGATGTATGCTCTTTTTTCTTTCAGTTCAGCACCTTGGGATAAATTTAAAAAAAACATCTGCAGAGCCTAACTGTCATGAAGGAAATGGCAGGGGATATCATAGTAAAACAAAGCCAACCTACGACTCTATGGCACGAGAATGACCATGGATCAACGTTTTTTTCTCAGATAAACTGATTTTAAAGCCTTCCTCTGATCCGAGCAACACCATAGACAAAGATCTCCAAGCCTTACAGGCAATAAGATGCTGCACTCAAAGTTCTACACTCCATTAAAGCTCTGTTTTTGTTTTTGTTGTTGTTGTTGTATATAACAGAATATGAAATAGATATATGAGGGAACGAATTAAGCCACTGTGGCCAGACACCATTCTGAGCCAAATAAGGGGCATGTGTCTATAATAAAATGCCATGTGTGTCTTCCAACTTTACCACAGCCTGCACACAAACATGGAGACTGACAGACAGACAGAAAGATACGCACATGTATGTTAGAATTCCTAATTACGCAGTAAAATGTCATTTTTTTGTTTAGTTTAGACAATCCCTGATGGAAATGTATTGAAGCCTACTGGTAAACAGGGAGCTCTAGATTGAGTTCCGCCTCATTTTTTTTTTAAATATTTTGTTCCCAAAGACGGGGGGATGACTCTGTAAGGATATGGCCACTCTGTGATCTTTTTGGCGTATTTCCGAATAACGTTATCCTCGCTGAAGATGAAGAGGGAGCGGTTGACGGTGAGGCAGCTCTGCTTGACGGGGATGGGGTTGTAGATCGCCATGGTCCGAGCCCTCTGGGCCATGCTCTGCTTGTACATCCTCGGGGCCCCCGGAGGGCCCCTGGCCGGGCCCGCGCTCCCCCCGCCGGCTGCGGCCGCGTAACGGCCGGACACCTCCTCCTCGAAGCGCGCCATTCTGGGACTGTGCGGATCTTGCCGTAGACACATAAACCGACGCCTGCAAACGCGCGCAAAAGACGCATCACAGTACGACAGGGTCCCGGTCCCGAAAAAACCCCCAAACGCTCCCAATAAAACGCGGATAAAGCTCTATTTGCTCGGCATCCCTCGGTGAGACCTCGTCTCCGGGGCTCCCCATGCAGACGGCGGTTCGGGCGTCAATTCCTGGCTAAAATTAAATACTCCATGTTGCATCATTTGGGTGTTTCTCCTCCTCAGAGGCTGAGATTTGCTGGCGTGGGCTCCATGCGTGAATAAAAAAAAGCCCCTTCCACCAAAGTTCCAGCTCCGCGAGAGACGATGAAAAATTCAACTGGAAAAGCCACAAAGTGCCACGGTGCGCAATAGGATGGTGCCCAGAAAGCGCCCAGGCATGATTCCTAGAAGAAAGTATCCACTGCCGATCGCTTTATTCTCACTGGGGGGTGGGCTCGTGGAGAAAGGAGGAGAATAAAAATAAAAAAAAATCACGCGCTCGCTAGTTTAACGACTTCTCGAAAAAAAAAAAAAAACGAAAACACGAACTGTTCTCACCAAGTCGCATTCGATTATTAATGTGGAGACACCACTTTTTCATCACCCCCGATGCGCCTCAGCCACAAGACAAGACACCCCCCCTCCCCCCCCCCCCCCCCACCCCACGTGACCGGCAAGACGGCAGCAGCCAGTGGCTCCACCTGGACCGGCCTTGTTTCCATAGCAACAGGGAGGGGAGGAAAGAGCCACGCCAGTGAGGAAGAAGAGGAGAGCTCCAGGAAACGGAGAGGTTTTGTAATCAGTCAAAATAAAAACTTGTGACACTTTACTGTTATACAACCATACACCAATATTGGTAGACTTAACTGAGAGGGAACTACTTTTGCGTTTGGATAATATATACATATATATATAATAAATAATTTTCCTGCCAACCATAATTAATCAGCTTGAATTAAATATAAACATGCTAAAGATTACAATTTTATATGCTTTTTTTTCCAACTTAAGGGGTCCTGTATCCGCACATTTAACATCAACTCAAATTCAAGCTGTGATCAGAGAGCATCGTCCAAAAGACATGAAAGAATAGAATAAAAGAGAGTACAAAACCCCATTCAACAGTGTGTTTAATGACCAATTAGATACATTGAAAAACGTTAAAAAGGTCAAACTATTAAAAAAAACTACAATAATCCAACTTCATTCATTTGGATTTTTTTCACACTTTCCAGTAATACAAATCCATTCATATTAAAATGATCTATTAAAATATTCGAAATTCTCCCTGTTGGGTTGACAATGATTTGATCTCTTTCAGATACTGCATTCTTCTTCATACAAAAAAATAAACTTCCGTGATGCAAGTGTCTAAATAAGTTAGTTCCTGTGCTTTTATGTGTACATTTCATTTGCCGTTTAAAAAAAACAGAAATTTCAGATGGAGGCCTGAAAGTCGTTTGCAAATTCATAGCAATACTTTCCAGAGCTTCTGACAGTTACAAGATATAGGGGGGGGGGTCCCATAGGAGTGAGCTCCTATTGGCTGGAAGCCGAGTGACGACACTTAACAGATCCACATTGGCAGTTGAAGTACTTGCTCTTCACCCTCCAGTAGTTATCACCATAATCAATCCTGGTGAGAAAGAAATACGAGGTTACATCTGTTTCTAAACAAAAGCAGGAAGGGTGGAGGGGGTTGTGTTGTTCGAGGCTCACCCAATCTGGTCTCCGACTTTGATGGCCCGGCTGGAAAAGAAGGCTATCCGTGGGAAGCGCTGGTCTTGGTGCATGGTGAACACTTTCACAGCTTGCAGGTTGGGCTCACACAGGTGGTTGATGAAACGGCCGATGTTTCCGAAGAGCCTCGCGTCGATACAGTACGTGTTCCCCACCTGCGGAAGAAAAACAAAAACAGTTTTGCAGTTACAGAATCCGTCTAAAATAAAAAATCCTTTTCTTCTAAACTGAGTTGCTGTAGATCGCAATTCTACCATCAGTCCTGGAACTTAAAACACCTCAAATTACAGCAACAACACTGACATTATTTTGCCAAATACAAAGAAAAAAACATAAGACATTAGTAACTAATTTATCAAGACATTTTCTGATCAGTATGAGAGTGATTAAATTTGAAGCCTGAAAAAAAAACAGGCAGGATTATCAAAATGACTGTTTTAGAGGGTTGAATATCCATTTTTCTATTAAAACGACCTCTGTCAACACACTGTCATAAACCATCGTGGTAAAACCCAATAAATTTCTGCTTCTAGCATTTGCTAGACAAGCAAGTAAATTTGCAGCACCGCCAAACAAGTTGAGGAAAATTAGGAATTTATTAATAAACCCTCTCCTATGGTTATGAGATCTGGACACAGGCCATAAGAACGAGATCTCAAGTACACATGACTGAAATGGGTTGTTTTTTTTGGGGGGGGGCTGCTCCTCTGAATGGAAACGAGACAGCTGTGGTTGCCTGTGCATCTGCTTATGACACCTCCTGCTCCCATTGGAAGTTTTCCAGGCAAGTCCGACTAGGATGAGTCCCTGGAATCGACCCAAACCCCATTCCGACCTGGAAACCTCTCGGCGTGCCCCAGGAGGAGCCGGAGAGTGTTGCTAGGGAGACGACTGTTTACGGCAACTGTTGCCTTCACGATCCGATTTCGGGTTTACGAATAACAAAACTTAAAAGCTTCGACAAATTTAAGAGGAGCTGCAAAATTGAGCTAGTGTGGTTAAGCTGAATGTTAAACTGCTAAGTAAAATAGTCTTGTGGCATACCTGTGATTTTTTTAATTTTATTTTCATCACTAAATAAAGAAAAAAATGAATGTCCTACAAAATAAAAGTGGCAATTCGATTATTTTCGCCACAAGTTGGATACACAGTATTCACACACACTACATGTATGGCAGTACAGTTCAATATTAAAAAGTGAATGAATTAAATAACCTTATTGTCGAGAGTGAAGAGGAAGGAGTCGTTTTCTCTTTTGTCTCCCTCTGCATCGGTGATGATCTCCCCAACATACCTGAGAAAGTCAGCAGACAGAGATCAGCTGGTGTTCCATATTTTATGCCGACTAATGTTCAATGAATACATTTCGATCATGAATGAATGTGCTCACTCGCAAATGAATGTTCCTTGGCTGATGTCCTGCATGGCTCTCACTCCCCACCCCATCTTCTCAGTTTTATAGAGCTGCAGCCGAACTCTGCAACAAAACGACAAGTTAGCTGGCTGTGTCGTCGATCAAAAGGCCAAGAATGAACGTTCTGAATGTTCTGGAGATTACACAGATGTATGAAAATAGGATGAAAACTGAAAGATTCAAGAAAACGGCTGGAGGTGACATGTTGCATCAACACTGAAACAGAAAGTTTCCGTTTACTTTTGAGTGTCAGTTAGATGCCTAAATAACCCTGCAGTGTTTTTCTGAAACATTTTGCTTTAGTAAGTCTGCCCGGCATCACTTTGAAACACAGCAGAAGCCTTGGGTGCAATCGTCACGACAACAAAAATGACTAGTCGTATTTTTTTGGACAACAAGTTGGACTTTTTTGCATGTTTTCATCTGGGGTGTGACCTATAGTCCAGAGCGAATTCTTGATGAAAAATATTAAGTGTTTTTTAAGGCAAACACTCCAGTATTTTAACTCAAGTAATAATTTGACAGAGCTAATTTGACATTTACTGAAGTGATATTTTATCAGTAGGTCTATCCTTTTACTCAAGTTACGAAACTGAGTACTGAGTGTCCACCACTGGCCATTTCCGTCTACTTTTTCTGGCAAATCATCTTCTATAAAGTGCATTCAATAACAGGAGTTGCCCAAATGTGTTTTGAAGCAATAAAAGAAATACAATAAGAAGGATAAAAGCTACTTGAGGCCTATAAACATATTAAAAAAATGACTATAAAGACATAAAGGACTGCTCCTGGCAGAATTTAAAAAGCTGAAATACAAAAAGCATCACCTGATTCCATTTTGAACCACACGGTTCCTGCAAGTCCTCCAGCAGGAGCAGGCATGGTTGCACTCAAACAGCACCAGAGGGTCCCACTGACAGAATTCCAGTGGTAGACGACCCTCCTGCAAACACACAGGTTCCCCATTACACACCAGAAGCTTCACACTCAAATTGTGTGTTGATTTTGAAGGGACATGGCTGGATAAAGGAACAGATAGACACTATTCTTTGCAGTAAAATGGAGTAAAAAAGGTGAAATTAAACAAAAATCAGATACTCTTGCTGATGATAATAAACGAACAGAGAATGTGATGCTCTAAGAAATTACAAGAAAAAAATGACTTACTTCCTGAGTGTCAACCAATGTTTGAAGATTTAAAAAAACAAAAACAAGCATTTAAAAAAGTTAAACTGCTTTGTCAAGGCCAATCGACACTAAGGACATTCAAATAAATCTTAAGCTTAATTTTGCTTGTGTTGAAACTTTGAATTTGACTTAAAAAAAAGGGGGGGGAAAAGGGAGAATATTTAATCACATGTTTTTTAATCCCTTGTCACACCAGATGCCTAAAAGTTGAATAGGCCCAATTCTTATTTAATGACAGATCTGTGTAGAATTTCCAGTACATTTTTGTTCATTTTTCCTTTAGTAATCTTCTTTTAATCAGCATCACCATTTATTTATTGTTAACTAATAATTTCATTGCACTGGGCATATATGAAGAGCTGTAACAGAACTTTTTCCAGGTAGGGATTATACAGGGTGTGTGTGTGTGTGTGTGTGTGTGTGCGTTTGTTTAAATACTTACATTGTCATACCAACATCGTACGCTGAGCTGACCACATGTGCAGGTGCTGGATGAGCAGTCATCTGTACAGCCACAGTGCTTTGGGATTAAAAAACAGTTCACTATTAGAACAATATTGCATCTTGCAGCTTATATCTACAATATGAGTTTTATCTTCACATCAATAAACGGGATATGAAAGCATTAGAGGAGAATTTTAAAGAAAGCAAAGCTGCACAGAGAAGTTCTCGCCAACAAGGTGGGATTGTTAGAAACGTGCATTTCACAGAGTCGAGCTCTCACCTGCAAGTGAGTGATGTCCTTGTCTATGTTCAGCTGGGATGTGACACAGTTGTCTGGTATGTACCTAAAGTTTCCAGGGCACGGCTCACTGTCGACTCCATTAACACAGGTGATGGGAACGGCCTCATATCCCCTGGAAATATCTCTTCAGAGAAGGTAGAAAAAAACAACCTTGTCACCTGATTCAAAGCTATAACGTGACATACAGCAACTGACTGACGAGAGTTGAACCCATTATCGTAATAAAATTGATTCTTTTTTTCAGATTATAAAAAAAACTAACCAACCCATTGGAAATAGAATGCACCGCTGCAGTTTGTGCAAGTGGAAACAAGATTTTAGCCAGTTTTAAGCCTAAAATGTCAGAATTTTTTACATCTAGCACTCCCAGTTTCTGATCAACACCTGAGTGGAAACTTTAGGAGCTTCCACATCTTCTCAACAGTAATGGGTACAATAAAGTCAACATTCCAAGAGCATGCAAGCCCCCTTCTGTTACTAGCTGTAAAGGAACTAGTTTCCTAAATTACTTTAAAGATTGGTGCAACTTTTCATTGCACATTTATTTGCTTGGGAAAAATGATGTATGTAGAATTTGTAGATGTGTTAGAGTTAAATAATACATTCCAACCAATAGCAGCACATAAGTTAAATGCAATATTAGAAAGTAAGCATGGGCATTTTTTTTAATAAAGCCTTTCAATCACACACACACATACACACACACACACACACACACACACACATATGTGCAGCAGTCTACCTGCAGAGTAGCCTCTCTCCCTGGCTGATCTGTCCTTTCTTAGCCTCAGTGAGCTTCTTGTTGGTTTTCAGGGCCGTCCAGACCTTCGAGCCACAGACACAGCAGTCCAGAGCAGTCTGGCCCTCCTTGTTTGTCTGTGTGACGTCAGCTCCACGACACAGAAACAACCTTCAGATAAAAAATAAAAAAATGGGGGAGGGGGGAAAATGTTTTGAAGTAAGAAAATCTAGCCAATAAATTTTGTTTCGGTCATGGGGGGGGGGGCTTATTGTTAGCTTTATCTTTTTAATAAAAAATAATAATAAAAAATAACAAAATACAACCACACAAGTTACCACACATACATGAATAAGTAATTATAATAATAATAATAATGGAAATGAAAAAGAGTTAGTAATTAAGAGTTTAGTTATAGTGTTAAAATGCAGTAGAAAATAAAGTGCACATCATCACATGATGTAAACAATTTAAAAAAATCTTCAGCATGTAATGTCAATGAAAATAATACAGGCCAAATACGACTCCAGGAAAAGTGATAAAGGTACTCCATCAAAAATCAAGCTGAAGTGTTCAGGTGCAATTGTATCAAATGAAAGAAGTGCTTGAGATTAGGAGACTCAATATACGCGATATACTATCAAAGTAGTAGTGTGTCAAGTGTGGACATCTCCACAAAGACTGTGCACTCACATCACACACTCCAGGTGGTTCTCTCGCGCCGCAACGTGAAGCGGCGTGTCCCCGTGGACGTTAACGGCGTGGAGGTCACACTGGGCCTCTAGCAGAGCCTGGGCTATGTCCTCACAGCCGGACAGCGCTGCCCAGTGCAGGCACACGTTCTCTTCCTGCATGAGAGGCCGATACATGTCAGTAACAGTGTGCCTCAAAGAGGAAACGCCTCTTTCGGGACGTTTCTTCCAATGCAGTATTTGTCACATTAAAAGAAAAGAGAAAACACACGCAAGTAGATTCTCTTGTCAAAACAGACTGTTATGGATCATTTGTAAAGCCGATTTGTGAGTGCAACCGCTAACCTTATCTCTGATGTTTACGTCGGCTCCTTTGGCCAGAAGCAGTCGGACTACCTCTTTGTGTTTGTACTCTGTGGCCCAAGTGATAGGCGTCCACCCTCCATCATCCTGCACGGACACAAGGCAGGGATTCATACTCATCCAAAACTTCTCAAGAGTTGTTCGCAGCAGTTAGTGCATGTGGCTGTGGAGTTTTCTTTTTGTTGTTTTTTTTACCTGACCATTGATGTGTTTGGATGCCTTGGAGAGCAAATGATCCAGTACGTCATAATGTCCCAGTTTGGCTGCCAGATGCAGACATGTGAAGCCCATGGTATCCTGAAATAGCAATGATTCAGACTGAACAACTGAACATTTATCATGGGCAGCCCATAAAGAGGGCATCTTTTTAGGCTATGGACACTGTAATGGCCAAACCTGTAGTCCAGCAACCATGAAGCTAATAACCCCCATACACCAACACAAATTAACACAAGTTTTCTATAAATGTTACGTCTATACTATCTAATTAATAGTTAGCCACTGCAGGGGAGGTTCTACTAATTTAGTATTGCTTATGTCATTAAGCGGAGATAACTGTTAAACTAACAAGTCATTTTGTTACTTTTGTTACTTTACTCATTTATTCAGATTCAGTTTTCCTGTTTTGTTCTCAGACCCCAGAATTAAAGTGCCCTTAGCTTCACACAGGTTCAGTAAATTTGTCTGTGTTAAATTAGAATTACTTTACCAAGTTGCTACTATGAGCCAATTTTGGTTCTGTACATTCGACATTGTTTAAAAGTACTATTTAGTGGAAGATTTTATTTTAATTTGCATTTTTTTGGGGTGAATAAGACCTTTTTTTTAAACAACCATCGTATCCTCATGTCTCAACTAGCTTGGTCCATTACAGATACCAAGAGTTAAAACTTGGAGGTCAAACATGACATCAGAGATACATTTTAAATATGGAATATACTTAAGATATGGTCAGTGCAATATCTTTTCCCTCAGTGGGAGACAATATATAGCCTTGGGCAACGAGTAGCAGTACGTCCTGATTTACCTTATGGCTCGCAGACGCTCCGGCTCTGAGCAGGTACTTCACTGTGTCCAGGTGGTTGTTTTCACAGGCTGCCATCAGTGGGGTTTTGAACTCCTCATCAAACATATCCAGGTTGGCTCCCGCCTGAGCACACACACAGACAGTGAAAATCTAAAACGATATCCAGAAATTTGGTTCTGCTGTGATGTGAAAATTGAATATTTGGACACGTTTACATTAATAACAAGATCTTTTTTTTAACAGAATAATTATTTGAATATCTTTAAAATGTATGAGGTTGTAACATCGGATTTAAAACTGAGCATCTTTGTTTTTGCTTAACATCACCTGAGGAAGTTAATGTTATATTTTACAAAGTTCTAAAACAATTTAATTACCGTACTTGACTGATTAATTAGAAGAAAACACAAATACACTGAGAAATCTACTCCAAAAGGTTTTAAACTATAATTACAAAATGATATAAATATATAATGTATTATAAAAACAGACTTAAAATAATTACTAGCTAGCTAAATCTATGGTCAATTAATTGTATATTTAGTCTGTCACCTGCAAATGACACCAGGCCAAATATTAGCTTCTGTATAGTCAATAAATATTCCTTTTGTAAATTATATTTTGCTGCATCATTTTACAACCTTTGACACAAGTGAAATCTTTCATTACAGTTCCATAATTTTGTTTTTCTCCATTTTCCGAGGGCTAGGTGAGAAGAATACACCTTTTTACAAATGGTTAAAACATAAATTAACGCTACAGGTTTTAAATTTCAAAACCTAAAAGCAAAAAATGGTGGGAAATTGGTGTGGGGTTTGCATATTTTGTGTGGGGTCCCTCTGGGTATTTTAGGTTAACAGAAGAGACTATGGGTTGTGTGTCTCTGTGTTGCCTTGTGATGGAGTGGCGACCTGTCCAGGGTGTGGCCCGCCCCTCGCCCAATTAAAGCTGGGATGGGCTTCCGAATAATCAGGACAATAAGATCAATGAATGAATGAATGGCAAAACAAACCATATTCTTTGTTACAAACCAAGACTGGGGGGCTGAGATGGCTTACACAGGTTTGCCTCAATACTTATGTAACATTGTAACCTAAGATGTTAAGAAGAATTACTTTGTTACCTTAAAACAAACCATTAAATATGATAAATGTGCACATCCTCCTCTACCCCAGTCATGTTACTATTGTATCCCAGATGGTGGGGTGGACAGCACTACACACAAGAGCAGGCCTTTTGCATCCAGCCCCATTGTACATATCTTTTAATAGTGCTGTATTGTTCATTAGTTATTCATTTGATTGCCTTAGATAGCTCCACACTACAGAGACAGGGGAAGATGGCGTGCAGAGGAGAGTCATTAGTTGGCTTTGCATTAGTGATAATGCTTTTCAGAATCTCTATATGAGACAGGCTATGCAAGAATCCCGCTTACTTAGGTTTGGTATGTGCGTTGCTGGTGTTGCGTTTGCCATTGTTATTGGAAATAATTTAGATTGTCAAATTTCACCTGTTTCACCTGAGCACAAACATGCCTGCGATGAATGGCTTAAGCTGGCAACTTGCACATTTTCTACATATCCTGATGCAGACAGTCGGGACGGTATGCGATCTGGTTAGTGAACTTGGATGCGTCACCTGGACCAACATGTGGCAGATCTCCTGGTGGCCTTCAGCAGCGGCTGCGTGAAGTGGGGTGCGCCTATTTTGGCCTTCAATCAAAAAGTTGGGGTCCTTCCCATTAACTGCGATAAAAGAAAAAAGAAAAACTTCAGTCTTGCGCTCATTTTTTACAGCTTTCACTGCTTTTGTTTAAATGACTTACTAATTATTTCTCAGAAAGACCATTTTAGACCTTCTGGAGAAGATCTAAAATGGTCCATAATGGTCTGGAGAAGGTCTTTGGTCACCTATCACATTTTATAATGGCAGAACAATCACTCCACATCCAAGGATGGTGTGTTCGTTTCTTTCATAACTGATTTCACGACTCTCAGGCTGCATATTTGAGTTACCTAGAAGCTGAACGACCCTCTGTAGATCTCCTTGCTTCGCAGAAAAGTACAGCTGCCTGGTGGGGTACTTTGTTTTTTTTGGTTTCAGGCTAAAAAAAAAAAAAAGGAAGGAAGGTCAGAGGTGTAAATGATCAAACTCACAGTGCAAAGCTGCAGTGCCACTCTGGGAAACTAATCCCAGAATATTTTATTCATGGGGGCCTTACTTCTCATCATCCAGTGCCATGAGGATGGTCTCCAGGGAATCGTTTGTGTGTACATGCTGCTCTTCTTTGAAGCTGAACAAGGAAAAAAAAAAACAGTAGTAAGGTAGCGAATATATTCATGGTGTAATAAAGAGTAACGCTAACTGTCAGTTGTGTTTTCTGACATTCAGGGAGAGGGGGGAAAAAAGCATACATTTTCTGTATAAATGGCAGCATGCAGATAATTGAAAAAGAGTTAACAGAACACTGCTGTGCAGGTTCTGACAGCCGGTGTCACTTTACTTGCTCATGCTCTCGTCTCTAGGCCTCTGGGGCTGGCTGGTCTTCCTTGCCCTCAATATTTGATGAACAGGAGTAGCTGAGACTAAAGGTAGGGCGGCAACAAGAGGAAGTGATTGACCGGGGTTTGATTTGGTTACAGAGGGTGACAAATCAGTCTTGGAAACTACGACCTCCTTTGCGCCACTCGCATCTTCTCCACAGTGGGGGCAAAACCTTTGATCCTTCAAGATGGAGGCACAGTCTTGGTGAAAGCGGTGGGAAATACTACCATATGGCCGGCACTCCATAAAAGTACCCTGTGGAGTAGAGCAAGAAAGAAAAGTCATAGGTCAAACAGTTTTAAAACAATGAAATTCAAGGGACTTCTTTAGTTTTTCCCCTCAGAAAAACAAAAAAGGTATAGTATTAACAGCAGTGGCCCCCGAGCTTTTGACTCAATTATGCACGCTATAATAAAAACGACATACAAATGGACTAACTTCAGCCCAAAAAGTGTCTCGGGTCTGAATCTTTTCTACACATTTACCAAGCCAAAAAAAAGAAAGAAAAAAGAACTGAAGTTAAAACAGAACAACCTCTCTGGCAAAAATCTAAAGAAATGTGCAGTCAAATTAGGAATGATCATGTTGTCTGTGGGAAACCGTTTAAACTATTGCTTTGTGTCTGTAGGTGACACAAGTGGGTACATAACATAATATTTTTCAAATTATTCATGAAAAAAAATATTTAAAAAAAACAACACCTACAAAGAAATACAAGAAGTGAGTAATGAGAATGTTCATAATGAGAAGATAATTGCACTTAAATGATTATCAATGAATACGATAATTGCTTTTATTCATAGCATAGTGTTTTGTGAGTCTTCATGATTTTATGTGACATTGTACTTGTGGAAAAAGTACTATATTCAACCAGAAAATTCCCCAGGAGGTAATCAAAGTGACTGGGACCGGGTCCACAGGTGGTATAAAAAATATCCTGAATGTGAATTTGAAGACTAAGTGTGAGCCTGGTTTCTGCTCACCGCTCTGCAGAAGAGCCCGCAGCCGGGGCAACACTGGTGCTTAACCATGCCGGCCCGGTGGTCCTCGCACAGGACCAGGAGGTGGACCGTGTTTGAGGGTCGCATCATCTCCTGCTTCATCACTGGCCTATGACAGCGATTCAGCTAAGGATAAAAAAAATGTTTAAAAAAACCTTTGATAAACATTGACGAAGAAACTTTACAGAAATACTACAATCATTAGATTTCAAACACCCATCCTTTATGAAACCCAATCGTCTAACACAGCAACAACATTTTCAGACATATTCTTTATTCCATGAGATCCTTTGGGTATTTTGAATTACCGGGCTAAAATGGGGGCAATCAGGAAACACCAAAAGCTGGTCAGAAACATGTTAGAAATGTTGTCCAACCACATACAGTGTTACTACCTGATCCAATAACAATCACTGCAGGCCGCTTGCTTAAATATAGAGCATCATTGTAGAATCGAGGGACACAAAAGACAGACTTCTACAAAAAATAAGCGCAAAATGTTACCATTTTCTTTATTTAAATCAATCAGAACACTAGTATCCCTTCTCTTATGCATCCAATGTACTGTAATATTTGAATATTCGAATAATGGCGAATAATGATGATTCTAACTAGGGATGGGACAGTTTCTGAAAACCGTCTGAACCGTTCGGTTCGACTGTCTCGGTTCGGTTCGCGTGTGTACCGCACGGTTCATGCACTGCTCCTTTTTCTCAGAGGGAAGCGTTTACACTCCAGAGCAGAAGGGGGCGCTACTGTGCCCAAAGCCAACCACCAGTAGGAAACAAGAAGAAGAAGAGAAGCAGCGTAGCCGATAAAAATCAGACGCGCCAGCAGCAGTTTCTACTAGGTCTGCTGTATGGACCAGTTTGCATTTAGAGGGAAGCACATGTTGGAATTAGCACTGTTTCCTCGCTTGCAATGTCAGAATCTCACCTACTTTTAACCTAAGACTGTCACAATAATGTATCAAATGTCAGACTGCTTTTTTCTTGCAGTTTTAACTAGGGATGGGGATCGAAACCCGGTTCTATCAAGGACCCGGTTCCACTTTTTTCAAAACCCAAAAATCAATAACGTTTGGGCTTATCGATACCACTATCGAGTCTGGTCGTTTTTTTATTATTACAATAGTAATTGTGAAATCTGTGTTGTAATCGGCAGCATACAAGCTAGTTAGCTTGAAAAGTAAATAAAGTTTCAGACGTGCTGCGTGATGATGTGTTCAGGTTGGCTCAGTAAAACGACAATTAGGTTATCATGATGCGTTCAAGTGTAACGTAAAGAAAAGGGAAATTAAGTTTTTGGCGAGAAACATGAGTAATACAGTTGTATATTGCTCTAATTATTTTAGAATATATAATTAAACTACTGATGCCGACATTTATTAAAAATTACATTTAATTTAAAATACAATTATTTATTTGTTAAATATTGTCGCATCGTTTTTCCACCAAATAACAGAAAATGATCAATAGTGGTATCGATAAAGACTCGGATCGATAAGGAGTATCGATAAAAGTATCGATATCAATAAATATTAACGATCCCCATCCCTAGTTTTAACCTGACTATACAAGACATAATAGATTTTCCTAACAATCACCATATACCGAACCGAACCGAAAACCGTGACCACGAAACCGTGAAACGAACCGAACCGTGGATTTTGTGAACCGTCCCACCCCTAATTCTAACATACATTATATTGTTGTGTTTCGTTAAAAAGGAGAGTGGCTAAAGGGAGAGAACCTTCTTAACATGAGTCAGTACATCTTTCTATTTTTGTGTTTTTTTCATTTTTATGACAATATTCCTAATAATGCCAAAATATCTTATCTGGCTATATTTTAAATGATCATATTCAAAAAGGTTTTCTAACTTGTTTTGTGGAATAACTGTTACAACTTGGGTTTCAATCGTTGCTGGTTTATTCTCTTAATAATGAATGTTTAAACTTAAAAGATCTCACCAGAAAAACAAATCTGAGTTTTAACTTTTTTTTTCATGAAGACTGAGCAGTTGATTCAATAAAAAAAAAAAAAAAGATTCAACCTTACTTAAGTGACACTATGAGGGCAGACAGGCTACTCGTATAGTAAAATGACAGACGCTAAAGGTGGTTTCTACGGTAAAATGTTCTATTTTGTGCTGGTTCTGAGTGAGTATCTGTACCATTCCGTCTGCGCTCTCCATAGCCATGCAGGTCTGCTCCAGAGCCGACAGGCTTCCACTGCTGGGGGGCGTCTCCATACGGCAGCAGCACAGCGGTAACTCATCAGCCAGGTCCACGTCTTCCAACTCATCCTCCCCTTCGATACCTGATGGAACACACCTCGTCGGATTGGCAAAAAGATTCCATCGATACCCCCCGTTAAGTCTTTTCGTAGGAAGCAAAAGCGGCCACGGTCGTTCTTAAGAGAGTTAAATCGAGTCGGTGATTTACCGCATGAAAGGGTGGGCGAGAGGAACTCTTCCTGAGCTTTGAGGTCCAGACAGTCCAAAGCGAACTCTGTGTATTCAACGTGGCTGTTCTCCCCATCCGTCGGCAGTTCGCTCCAGCCGACCGACTGTTCTCCACCATTCGCAGGGGTTGGAATATTAAGCGGTTTCTCATCTGACGCCGTCTGTTGCTTCTCCAAGGTGGCCTCTCTCTCCCCTTTCTGAGAGACGACCACAGTAACATTTTGGAGTTATAGGCGGATTAAAGAAACGTTAAGAGGCTTTTTTTTCCATGTTGCCCCCCATGTTTCCCATGGGGCGAGAAATGAATTATGGGGCTGTTCATGTTAAGAACTACACGCTCTATTCACCCCATTTGATTGGCCCCGAAGGACGAGATTGTGTTTTTCCTCATCTAATTGGAGCATTTATGTGCGAGTGTGTGTGTATGTATATTTATATTTATAAAAAATCATTATTATCAAAGTCATTATTATCAAAGTCATTATTACATACGTTATATGTCATATCTTTATTACATACATTATATGTCTTTATGCTTTTACTACATATATGTCATTATCATAGCTAGACAGACACATACACACACACATATGTCCTTTAATTAGGGGACCCTGTGACTTGTTTTTACAATAGAAAAGCTGAGGTAGGTTAACAGATTCATTGTGGGTTATTGTCAGTGAGGCGTTAAGAAGCTTGATGTTTCGAAAATGAGAAGAAAAAAAAGAAAGCCGCCAGTTCACTTGCCTTTCCCTGTTGTTTCACGGCCTTTGCTTTCTTTTTGGGGACGAGGTTGTACATTCCCATTTTCCTCTTCTTTCTCTTCACTGATGGACACAAAAAGACAGCTGTGTTTCGTTATCACAAATAGATGGAGGCTTAAAGCCGGAACTTACAAATAGCTGACATTCTGAGGACACATTCTTATAATTAAACTCATGTAATATGGAAAAAATGTACGAGGGGAACAAAAAAACACCTCACCTGCTTGAGATTTGACGGAGGTAGAAACAATCCTGACTTTGCTTTTTTCTTTCTGTGCACGCTTGGGCGTCGACGGCTCAGACTTCACTGCTTCTGCTGACGCCGGCTTTGCTGTCTTTTTGCCGGCAGGCTTCAGAGGCAGAGAGAATACAAAACATCCTTATTAGGACAGTTAGGTATATGAGCGCTTATGCCGGCGCTTTAAATAACCCGCATTTTCAGGGGAGCTGGTCGTGACATCATGTTTAAAACCTGCTTATCTGTGAGAGATAATTAAATGAAAACAGGCATACTCTCAAAATAATATTAATATAACCCCCTTTGTATTATTATTTATCAAGTGCGCACGCCATTATTGATGTAAGACTCAAGGAAACAGGGATAACACAGGAAAATCGAGTCACTTGTGCACAAATCAGAGAGACAAAGAGTCAAGAACAGAATCCATCAAACAATAACAGTCAACTATATGTTGCACAATATGCTGCTGCTTGCTAAGATGGTCGAATGGGGGGTGCAACATTTTTCATAATGTTTCTATTGCATATTGGCTCGTCTTGTTTTTTTATTGTTCCAATGTGTGTATTCTTCAGAACCTATAATGCACATAAAACCATAATCTTGTCCTGTTTTACTCTTTTGGCATTAAAGCCCCGTCATATTTTTTGGGGGCCAAAATCCAGACTTGATTGCAGAGAAAACTGTATGTATTCGGCCATTATGCGGTTCAGGGGAAAAACAAACAGCTGGTGGATTAAAGACAACTGCACAGAGACTAACAAGGAACACTTTTAAACCTAATTACTGTGGATGAAATTGAATCAAAATGTGAAAATGTGTGCATAGGGTGTGTGTTCTGGAAAATCCAGGTTTAGACATTAAGACAATGAGTTCCTCAATGAGTTTTTAACTTTATTAGTTGGTGTTAACTATCAAATCTTGCACCCATATATATGTATGAACATAAAGGCCACATCTGTGGACTTTCACATCTGTAAAGATCTGAAACAAAGGCCCGCTGGTTCTCTTTTCGGCCATAATCGCTTGTCCATTTTCACCTACCGTCGTCTGCGGGGAGCCAGAAGTCGGGATTTGTTTCTCCGAGCTGCTGGCTGCGGCGGGATGTGCAGATGTTCCACCTCCAGGTGTGCCCAGCAACAGGCCGCCGCCGGACGCTTTTTCTCTGCCGGGATGCAGTCGTTTGATGCGCAGAGACGCGTCTTTAGTGACAATGGGGGAGTTGTGGAAAGGAGTCACTATCAGCCTGGATCTTTGGTCAGTTTGGGTGCCTTGCTGTTTCGTAAAGGCGGGACCGGACGACTTGTCGCTCGGGTCAGAATCCTGACGGGCTCCGCTGTAATCCATTGTTACGAAGAGGGGACTACACAGCACCTAAACAAAAAGGGATAAAGAGCATCACATCAATACACACACACAAAAATACAAAAACAACTCTTGGCCTGGTCATTGAAGAAGTTGAATGACAAAACTGTGATCTTTCAACACCAACTGACCACTGGGTCACGTGGTTTAAAAAGGAGTCCAGATCCAAAATTTGGAGAAGTTTCTTTTCCAATTTTTGATTTTAAACATCTAACTTTGTCAAAGGATCTTTGTTTAAGATATTGGAACGCAATCAAATGAAAACCCTCCAATACGTTGCTAAACAATTAAGTGGAAGTTCAACTAGTGATGGACACGGAGTTGTGCAGAATAGAAATATATAATAAATATATAATAAATAATTATATAGTTAATTTTATAATAACATTAAAAAAATTGTCAAATACCCCCCCAACCCCACCCCACCCGAATGGCTCCAGCGTCACGTGCCACAACTGTAGCATCCATATTATTGACTCCCACCGCGCGCAGCACCGAGTTTCGAGAAACTTTCCTAACTTTCATTCTCTCTTTTCTCTCATAAAAATGAAAACCCTGGCGGCATGTGCGCGTCCATCTTTGTTTTGATACGTAACCCGAAGGTGCAACAGCTGAAAACACTTCAACATTTTGGGGGGGTTTGTTGTCTTATTCAAAGAACCGAAAAACCCTTTTGTTTTTTCGGGCTCGGACCGCAGATATAAAATGACTGAGCGTACAAACTATTAAGAATTTTCCTAGATTTTTCATTTCTATATATTCTATATATTTCTATCTAATTGTTTTTTTTAAAAGAGAAGTATGCTTAGCTTTGTGCATATTAGCACGTACATACACTGAGACTATGCGCGTGCTATTTCATAACATAAACTAGGTTGCAGAGAGGAGAGAAGCCATGCAAAATTAGTTTGGAGACGCGGCCGTTTGTGTAACGCCACTAAGTTAGAAAGATAGAGCGAGAAAACAAGAAGTCAACATTACCAGCAGCGAATTAAAGGACTATGCGGAAAAAGTTGGAAATGCTATTTCATTACCAGCTCCACATCAAGCGGAGGTGGGGACGGAAAATGGTATCTGACTTCCGCCCGGACAGCAAACCATGTGACACGTGCGTGGTGCTTTGCACCTTGATGGAACTTAATGGAATTTTTTTAAATTAGTATTTATTTATTTTTTGTCATCTTAACTTATTTAACCCTCGGTTATGACATCATCATCATGACAGTGAATCATAAAATCATAAAAATTGATCATGCGTCCTTATAATCGTGCAACCAAGAATAATGTGTATCAAAGAGATATTACATACAGCAGATATTTAACAAATATTTATAAACTGAAGATAAGAAGCAAGCCTTAATTTTTTTTTAAATGGTTTCATTCCAGTAATTGTTTTAAACTTAGAAATTTAGTCTTTGATCTTTCATCTTTAAATTTTGTTGCAAATAAATAAATAAATTGCCAGAGCAGTCCAATATTGGAAATTTGGCCCAAGATGTAAAATCCCCTTTATTATTCTGAAGCATAAAATATTTGAAAAGAACACATACCAACGTCAGAGGCTTGTAAGTGGATTTTTTCCTGCATAACAATGTCACAAAACAGCACAATTATGACAGACTGATAATAAGATTATTAAATTCATCTAGAAAATCATAAATGTTGCTAACATACAGAAAACCTAACAAACAATGGATTGTTTGGGCCAAGGCCATGCCCCTAATTTACCACAACACACAGTTATGTAAGTTCCAAATATTAATGGATGCAACTTCTGGTATGCATCAAGTGTCATGAATACCTGTAAATCTCCCGTTGATCCGAATGAAGATATATTCAATTGTTTCAATGTAAATTCATTTATTTCATGCCTCCTGTGTGGGTATGGAGGGTTAAGGGTGACAAAATCAAATTAACCACTATATCATGAAATAAATAAATATATCATGATATACATACCTGTAAATCTCCCTTAATTGATTAAATGTATAACAAAAATCGTAAAAACTCATTCAATCAAATTCAGAAATACTTTAATAATCCCAAAGGGAAATGATTTAAATATTATTATTATTATCATTGCTGTTGTTACTTTTCTTCTTATTATTATTATATTAATAAATAATAATAATTAATTAATAGATCACGGAAATATGCAATGAAATAACTGATGTTCCTTGAAATAATTTAATTAACATTTTTTAAATAACGAATTTAAAGACTCAAATGTCATTTTAAATAAAACTTTTAACAAATATATTAAATTATTTCACTCTGTGTTTATTTAGTCTATGCCTCCTGTGTGACATGAAATTATTTAAACTGTCAAATCTAGCTATCAAACTCAGTGGGCAGGACTGAACTTTGTGCTGAAGATACTGAGCTAGAGACAAAAAGACTGCGCATCAACGGTTTGTAGGGGATAAATTAGAATAGTTTATTGAAGTCCTTGGAGTTATTTATGCACTCTCAAACCAAGACTTAGACTCAAGCTTGAGTAATAACATGGAGTTGATCATGATTTTTCAGGGGATACATTTTTCGGCAGACCTTGCCAAGTTTGAGGATGAAAAAAGCCAATGAAAATGTATTTTGCTCAGTGAATTCCCAACACATTAAAGTCACCTGGGCAGCTTTACAATGTGGATGAATATTTTGGCAGATCTTGCCAAAATATGCATCCCCTGCTGTGGCCTACTGAGAAAAAATAATAGTAAATGTCTCTAACCGTCTTTTGGGCCACAACAAAAGTTTTAGTCACTGCCCTTATTTTGTAATATTTTAGTACAATAATATAGCTAATAATAGATGAAATAGATGCTCTAATCAGATTATCTGGAATCAACATGCCTATTATTTACCTAGCCTACATGGAAAAAAAAAAGATGAACAAATTAAACACTATTATCAACTTTTACATCCCGGATTGCCAAAGTGATTGGATAAATTTGATTAACTGATGTCCAAAAATAACTTGAGTTAGAATCTTTTGCTGAGTTTAGTCCCCCCAGTTCAAAAATCCCATCTAGACCCCTGTTGTCAAAGGAAAGAATTTAGGGAAAAGTGACTTTTAAATATGCTTTTATTGAAATACAAACTGAAAATGTAAGACACACTAAACAGTGAATGAATATAAAGTGTATCGTATTTGACATAATTAATTAAAATAAAAGAATATCTATAATAAAGACTAAAGATACATGAGGTGAACTACATATTGAATAACCAAATTTAAAAAAAAGATCACAGGGATTTTACAGCATTATTTTGCAACAACTAATAGAAATCAATGCCAAAAAGAGTACACATTCAGAAATGGTAGGAAAATAAATCAGCAGTTGTTATTGTTTGATCCAAAAAGGTCCAATTATTAAACAATATAGAGATCTACAGTTGCTATAATAGGTATGTGTCCTCTGAAAATCACATGCAGTATAAATCCTGGATGATTTCTATAGTTATATTACTTAAAACCAATTTAAAAAAAAAGAAAAACAGAAAAAAGCTACAAATTTCTTTAAAAGACTACCCGTTTATGCTAAACATTTTTGCAGTAGGGATTTTTTTTGGCATCGGATCAAAAAAACTTTTTCCTTCACTTACAACAAAAAGCTGTCATATAAAAACTTGACTGTCAAAAGAATATAAAATTAAATTATGTGAACATCTATTTTCAAAAGTGCAAAAAGTGAACTATTGCATGATACTAAATAAGATCTGTGAACAGCTGTAGTTGGATTTAGAAAAGACAACCACGCAACATTCTTACTTCGGTAGAGAGCGTGAGAGTTGAGGTCAGTCCGGCTTCATTTCTTTAAACATACAGAGATGCTATTGTAATTCAATTCAAATCGGTTTCGACATTTTAAAATGACAGGACTCTTATTTTGGAAGTGCAGCTGTATGGTACGTGACGAAGGCTTCGACTTCACTCAAGAATTTTCTCTTAAAAATATTTGAACTGATCTCTGTCCCGGCATTCCTTTCTTCATCCACGTCATGTGTTGCAGCTCTCGTCATAAGAGGGAGGGGCATCTGTGACAGAAACTCATTATCAAACCATCTAGTATGTACAACAACAGTCTGATATGTACACATTATCACACTCTAGTTGTGAAGCTAAGAAAAGAAAAAGGGCACTAACCTATTTTTTTTACAATTATATGCAAACTAACCTTGTGGGTAAGCTGATGTGCCATAGTCTGGTGGCATTGAACTGGCCCCGGGTACCGTGGGATAAAGTGGCAAGGGCCTCGCAGAGCCGCTAAATTCTGGGGCACTGGGTGCCGCGGCAGCCACCGGATTGGGTGACTGGTTCTGGGGGAAAAAAAGACCTGGCGCGTAGCTGAAGGCGTTAGGCGACACGAGTTGAGACTGGCGTTTGCTGCCGAGGTCTTCATTGGTCGGGGTCCCGCTTTCCGGCACGTGGAGGTGCTCGGCAGGCGGGGCACTGGGGGAACTGTGCGTCGACGTCCTGGAGCGGGGAGCGGGGCGAGGGGCGGGTTTGGGGGCCTGGGAACGGGGCTGTGTGGGTGAAGGAGAGGCAGTGGTGTCTGCCGGTAGAGCGGAGGCCGATGTGCCGTCAGTCGAAGAAGGAGGAGAAGACTTTTTGGTGGGACGCTTCTTTTTGTCGAGTGAGACATTCCCAATTTGGATGGGTAATGTCAGCATGACGTCAGGTGACTTCAGGCTGACCTAAGAACAGAGAAAAACAAACAATAAAAACCCCTGAATGATGATCAGCTCTGTATTATTAAGCATTAAATGCATATTATAATCGTAACTTTCATTTTCTCTTAACTTTGTAAAAATGGCCTTCTATTTACTTTCTTAATATTTAAAATTTAGAAAAGTGGTCCATTCTCTTGTTAAACTCTTGTTAAACGTGTTAAACTCTGATTTAGAGTTTTGAAACCAAGTGAACTTATCATCTAACAATCATACTTGCATATTGCAAAATCCACAAACATTTGTTCCAACTTCGTCAAATATTTGCTATACAAATAAACCTGCCTTGCTTTTAATCTATTTTGTTGACTCATTTTCTTTCTTTGTTTTCTTTTGAACTCTTTGTAAAGCACTTTGAATTGTCTTGTACATACACAGTGCAATTCACATAAACTTGCCTTGCCTTAGAGATTCAGAAATTCCAAAAGGTTGTAACTTGACTATTAAAAAACCCCCACTTGAAATGTAATTAACTTGAAAATATACACTTATTATGGAGTGACATTAATGATTTCCTTTCTCAAACAGATGATGTGTGAGACACTGCTGAAAAAAGGACACTATATGCTTGTCCTAAACCTGCTGTTGCAGCCTTGACCACTACAAACTCTACAGGAAATGAAAAAGAGGGATATAATTAGCTTACTTTGATGTAATATTCTATCTTAATGAGTTCACAGCCCGATAGGGAGGACTGAGGAAGAGGAGGAATGATGATCTGTTCTTTCCACTCCACCTCCTTATTAGCCTTCACTGCGCCACCCTCCACCTCTGCTATGGTTTTCACATCATGAGTGGGCTTCTTTGTCTCATAGGTCACTCTCTGAAAACAAAAAGACATGGACATAAAAAAACAGGTACATTTAATTATGTTTTCAAAACACAGATTTTTAACATGGTCAAGGTAATAATGCGTCGATTCACCACTGGTCTTAAATAAAATACAGAATTTCTCAAGGTTGAAAAAGCCCTGATTCATCTGCCCATCTGCCACTCCTACCTACCATCACATGTGAACCAGGAAACTTGATACTTAAGCCTCCTCCACCTGGGGTAGGGCCTAATCCTTAGCCAGAGGTATAAGTATTTCCCCTTTTTCTGGTTGACCATGAGGTAGTAGTTAAAACCAACTTTGCTAGTTTACTCCATTAATTGGATATAAAATCAATCTTGTGTCATTTCAGAAATTATTTTCTACATAATTTAAAAGATCCCATATTTCTGTAAAATTAAGCACAAATAAATGAATTGAAACTAAACCAATCCCAGAAGGAGCCACAGTCCAGTCTGTCAGACGCAAAGAATCGAACAACAACTTCAAATGCAGAGAATTGCAAGACCTAACTAAATTTAAAACAAGCGGTTTTCAGTTTGATGGAGCTTTATTTCATATGGATGTGTCCAGAAAACCTCCAAACACCAGAACAACCTATTCTGACTCCTTTCAATATGGAGGCGTAGTGGCTCTACTTCAAGGTCCCTACAAATGGCTGAGTTTCACAACCTATCTCTAAGGCTGAACCCCCAAAGAAAATCCATGTCAGTTGCTAGTGTCCGGGATCTCCTTCTTTCAGTCACTACCCAGATCTTGTGATGGTAGATTCTATATTGGCACTGAAGATGTACCAGTAAATCTACAGACCGGATCAGTGCCCTCCTTTAGCTAATAAAGGCCCAATCCATCTGTCCACATCCATGTAACGAGGACACAACTCTGACTCAGAAAGTGTTTAATCTTTTTTCGGTTTAGGATTAAAGACTAATATTTGGAATAGCAGATATCCCTTTCCGGCACCAGACAGCCTCCTCGACATATCTACATTTTGACAGCCTGTCCATGAAAATCCCAAGCACGGTTGGCGACGAGGGGTAGCAATAAAAATAAATAAATAGATCAACTAAAATGTGGAAATAATTAAAAGTCCTTTAAAAAGTCCTTACCTGTACCAGGCTGGCAGCTATGTTGCCTGTGGTCTTCCCGGATTGGTTATGGATGTTGACCTTCAGCTGGATGATCTGGTCGGGTGTGTAGCCTTTCATGTCTGTGTGGGCATTAAGGACAACTGTCCCCGTTTTCACCAGCATGTAGGTGAATTGTTGGGTTATTGCAGAAGAGGACACTCCCTGCAAAGACGCAAACACACACGCATTTGTTATAATCAAGTCGGTCTTGGAATCGGTTACTTTGAAGTCATTTTGCCATTTTAAGTCTGCACCGACGACGTAACAAAACAATAGCCAAAAAATATCTGATGAAGTGTATATAGCAGCTTCTGTACCGCTTTCTGCTTAAATAGTCGAGAGGTGTTACAGCTGCTCCTGCAGTTAGGCCCAAACAAAGTGAATATTGCTATCTTGATGTTCCAATTGCGCCATTATCAGCGCTCCGAGCTCATCCATTTTCTCCACCAGTGACCTTACACTTTGTAAGATAATAACAGGAGGAAATGGTTCACATTTCCTCCGACCTACCAATCTAGTTTCTCCTCTGCATTAACATTATTTCCTAAAGCTGGTCTGGTTTTGGGGTTTTATTCAAACAACTGTTCAAACAACTGGTAAATACATTTCTTTTCTAATTCCATCTTAATAACAAGGCTAATAACTCTTGCAACTGTGGGAGTTGTTGCATTATGAAGGTCCTTAAAGCTGATACTTGACAAGATATTGCCCTAAAATGTATGACATTTCACTTACGGATAGCAGGAATAGTATATTTCTGTAGGTTTCAATCTGATATATTATATTTTTTCTGATAAATATATCCAAGACAAAAACAATAAGTCATAACACACTTAGAATGACTCACCCATATATCTGGCACTTCATTCAGGTTCAGAAGCCTTAGCAGGTAAAACTGCTTCTCCGTGCTGTAGTCTTTAGAAAATCGTGGCGTGTCAATAAAAGCCCTCACTCTGTAAATGATCCGTCCGTAGTTGCCTTCAAACGATGTTGGAGCAGTGTCTGTCGGAAAGAAAAAAGAAAGAAAATATTAACATTGGTTCCAATGCAGTCTAAAAGGAGATTGGTATGAGATGGTTGTAGTAACAGCTATTATTACCTTTCATGTGCCTTTTTCTTCTCTTTTAAATGTTTTTTGTGGTGACTTTTTTGTGGAAATTAAACAATCATACCAAATTCCAGTCTCTCCTTAAGTAAAAGTTCCCTTTCAGTATATACGATTTTTACTTTTAAATGTGGAAAAATTACTAAGAAAAAAACTCTTGAATGCCGTAATAAGATTTGCACTAGTTTGGCTGATTTTGCCTTTATGCTTTAAGTAACACTGCAGATCAGGACTCACATATCTCCAGCACATTTGCATCTTGACAAAGGTTAAATAAAATTATCACTTCACATCTCTTATGAAGCAAGAGCCAAAGCCTGACAAAAAGTGTAGACAGGAGCTAGGGATGCAATGTACTGACATCCCGATCTGCAAAAAAATAATATGTGGTATATGGAAAGGAGATGGCAATTCAAATAAATGTATTGGTTATTTTATTCAAAACATTTTATTTTATTATTCTCATTTGGAGCTAATAAAATATGTGAGTTGAATGGTTAGCAATAGTTTAACTTTTAACATTTAAAAACAAGTGAAGGGGAAAAATAATATGCACATCTTGTAAAATACAAGATGGTACATGGGAAAAAAATAAATATTTAACATTGATCTAAAATAATTTAATCTCTTCCTTGGGATTATAAACAGAAATTCAAGCAAGCGCCCAAAAAATTCCATTATCATTGCTGTTAAACTAAATGTAGGCAAATGCCAACATAGAAATAAATGTTTCCCAAGCTAGGAAATGCTGTGGCAAAACACAAAAACCTGAAAAACAGCAACTAGGAACGAGTGTTCATCATATCATGTTAAACTCCTACCTGGTATGAGAAACTTGAAGGGAAACGTGTGCTCTCCCAGTTTCAGGGTTCCTTTGTAGGATAAAGAGAGTACACAATACACCAGTTAGTGGAAACAATAGCAAGGGCTCTGTTGTTTTTACAACAGGAAGACTTCAAGTTTCAGTATTGCAGTGGAAAATCAGAGCCTACAAGACTTGTTACTTATTACAATTATTTTCCACTTTTACATTAATTTTCCCTTTTTAAATTGGTATTTAAAGAAGGGACAATGCTCAATCAAGATACATTCAAGTTAAATGTATCAGAACTATAAAAAATGCTCTTTTGGCCAGCAGGTGATATGCCAGATCTTAGCATCTTTGTGTAGAAATCCTAAAAATGTCTTTTGCACCGACCAGCTTAAGTGTTCAGTCACTCACCTTTGTCTGCCACGGAGACAGAGTTGTTGAAGTACTGCTCCTCCACTGTCCATGCTGTGTCATTCACTTTACTGGTGATACCACAGAAACCGTTGCAGTTCACTTTGATTGCTATAAAAAAAACAAAAACAAGAGTTTACTGGTTAGTTTTTTTATTTTATTTATGAATTTAAATTAATAAATTTAAATTTATTTATTTAAGTGAAATTATGATGTCTCACTGGTCATTGCAAGTCTTAGGGTACAAGGTAACTTAACATTAAAGAATATGATCTGTACTTTTTAATGTTTGTTTTAGAAAGATATCTTGGAGAGGTGACATTTTAGTGTGATTTGGTTAAACATAACTTTTTACAAGACAGATAAGATACAAAATTTAACTGTGTACAATTATGTTCATGAAGTATTCATTAGCTTACTATTTCAGTCATTTGAGACCAATCACATTTACAAAGGAATTTGACAACAGTTTTAAATTAAATTACTATCAGCATTTGATTTAAACCGGTTGGCACAGAAAATAATCAATTAATGGCAACAACATCCGTTTTTACTATTTAAAATGCTGTTTCGTGTATACTTACATATACGTACTCACTCCATGTCATGACAAAGCTACAAACAATCTAGGAAAAATATTGTACGTCGTGTCTTTGTGTCCACAAAACTTGATTTAATGCCACAACTATTGGAAGCTGGTCCCATCAATGTTGAGGGGATTGTATTACTAATCATCTGCTGTGGAACACAAAGAATATTCTATTTTCAAAGGGCAGCATCTGATCTCATAATGATAATTAACTATATCTTGACACCTCATTGTTTTAGACAATTTAGGCACAAGATTTCTACATTTGCTGCAGGAACGCGTTCTCCTAGGGCATAACCACCCGAGCCCTTTTTAATACCTGTACCTTTACTTTTATATCTTAATCCTTAACAAGGTTCAAATGAAAGTTTTTGCCTTACTGGAATGTTTCTAGCTTTTGGGAAAAAAATGTGGAGTCAGAACACTGTTCTTAGCATGGCTTTATAGATGGATAGATGATTAATTTCTATTTCAGTAAAGTATAATTTAGTAAATAAATTGATAAGACAAGGGAATGGCAGCATACCTACGCAAAAATGGTATTGTACATTTCCATAGTAACCTTTCACAGTTTAATGAGCCAAGTTTATGTCTGTAAGATGAATATGTCAAACTGTAGTATACAGTAGCATACTAGTATTTGGAAAATTAGGTAAAGATGTTTGTTACACTATGATAAATATATACTCTATACACCGACCTGCACAATTTAACATTTCCATCCATCCATTTGCTATGCCAGCTTATTCCCAGTAGGACAAAATGCACACTCCACAAAAAAAGTCCCCACAGGAGGGGTTTGAAACGAGAAGCCTGGTTAGCAACAATGCTAACAAACACATGACCGTGTAGCCCTCAACACACTTTGATGGATATGCAAAACAAGAACAAGTTCTGGACGGCCAAGCAGGAAGAGAGGCTGCATGAGTCTTTGACACATGATCATTCAATAGAGATATGAACAGATCATAGATTTCTTGCTGTGTGAACAGAGAGGCGTTTAGTTAGTCATTGCTTAACCTTTTCAAACCTGATGGGATATCTACTGCATTTGATGAATGAGTAAATAAAGTTTTTTCCCCCCAATCTATTGCTTTCATTTTAAGAAAACAATCGGTATTGGCACTTAATTTAACTGACTCATTTTTCTATGTATATTTTTATCTCTAAAATAAATTCTGCCACATGTACATCGCCGAAAAAGTAAAATGTTTTCGCTCTAATAATAGTCAATGAGTATCCTCAGCTTATCAATGATCTGATAAACTGCTCACACTGAATCTTTAATATCTTAAAACATTTCTAATGCTCATATTTGACCTGTGTGTGTCTCGTTTCTAAAACATCATAGTCCATCTGTGACGCAAATGTCTGCAAGTGAGAAACTCAGAGGGACCAGTTCTGCCAGTATAGGAATGTAAACAGACCGGAGAAGCCACAATCACACTGTGACACTCCCAAAGACAAAAGCACAACCTTCAGCAACGGATAGGTGTTTGTTTATTGTTTGGAATCGTTTCTAGCATCTACTGAGGCCTTTTGAGAGCTCAATGTATAAAGTACTGAGTAATGTAACGTGGTTCAAACCACTTGTGGGTTCATTTGGGTTATATATACATTTACATTTTGAGACGTGTAGCCCGTTTCCTGCACATCCCCAAACCCGAATTTCAATTAAAGTGTTTTTGTAAATTTTTACTTAGTTTTTATCTTATTTTTTTTTTTTTTTTTTTACATATACCGTCTTTGGATTTTAGGAACAGGGCAATAACAGTATCCATTTTGCCATTAGGCCCATTAAGTGTATCCTAATAAACCAAGCGGTACTATCCACATTAAGTGAACAGTAGAGGGGTCATGTAGGCCCTTACTTTAGAAAGCAATGCCAAAACGCCATTTGTTGGGGCTTAGAGTAGCTAATTATGTTAAAAAACAAACAAAAAAATTCAAACACAACAGGACACCGAGTCTTAATTTACCCAACAATTCAACCTTAGGTAAACCACTTCCTCGTGCGGCGTCTGCGACGTTTCCACGCGAAAAAAAGCGACGGTTACTTTGTTCTCTCACCTTTGCATTGAAGCGGCTGGTTAATGTTGACTGTCACGGTCCCGGAAATGGACTCCCCGGGACTGTAGACCACTTTGTTTTTGTCAAACGCGATTTCAAACTCCCCAAGCTTCCCCATGTTTTTCTACAGTATGGGCTAGGCTAAAGAAGACCTGCTCATATACAGGTAACTTCACCTTTGTCTATTCTCCGCCCCTCAAACATGACGTCATCGTCATGGAAACTGGTGGAGCAGGTTTGAGCAGCCAAAAATATAACAACAAAACAGAGACTGTTAAGTGTCAAGTTAACGGGATATTAAATTCTAAATCAACTATATATATCTAAATACATGAAAGTGGGTCAGAAGTGGTATGTTATTAAACAACTTAAATAACAGGGCAACTCAAGAGACATAGGATATTGGAAGAATTTTATAAAACACTATTTACTACTATTCCTGACATAAAAGAAATACAGAAATTCATGTTATTTTCATAATAATCTTTTAAACTGCCTACCGTCTCCAATGAACAAAGAGAGAAGTTAGACTCTCCTCTCCCTCTAGAGGAAATCAAAGTTACAATCTTATCTATGGAGACTTGAAAGTAACCAGGCCCGGATGTTGCCAGTTGAAAATGATACAATGTAAGTTGACAACATTGTACGTTCAATGTGGCTCTGATTTTCCCTTTTCCCAAAAAAGAGAGATGTTTCAGAGATGCAGGTGGGAATAGTAGCAGCTGCCAGAGTAATCCTCAGACTAAGGAAATGTTACAAATGTTACAAGCTGGTTGAAAGTCATGTTGGAATGACACCATGTCATTTGAACAAATGCTAGCCAAGTTAAATACTGACATGGAAAACACAGGTGAATAACTACTTTTTTTCATTGTGACCATCTTTATTTTTGATGAGGATATTTGTACAAATCTTTAATTAAAGTTAATTTGTATAAAGTTATTTTGTATTATGTTTGGTGTGCACTGACCTAGGTGGTGTATTTTATTTATTGGTAATGTTTGAGTCTCCTGAAGCTAATAAAAACTTTGACAAAAAACAAAGAACTCTCCTCTGATTGAGAAAACAAGGCCATGAAATCATCCACAAACCAAAAAATAAAAACTCCCAAAACCAGAGGAAAAACCACCTAAGCTATGAAACAGGTTACAACAAAAATAACCACTCCACTGAGGAGAAACAAAAAGAACATCAGAGGCAAGTTACCTGAAACGAGAGGAAAGTTAGTATTTCAAAATAAAACAGGAAGTGACAAGACAAAGAACTGGGACCAAAATTCAGGACATGGCATAAAAAGGACACTCAAAGGAATGTCAATTTTTCTTTTTAGAATCACATTTTAGAGCAGTCATAATGGAATTGTTTGTGTGCACTGAAAAAAAAAACATTTTGGGCAATAAAAAAATCTATGTATTTGTGATAACTTAAAAGCATCACAGTATTACTATAATAATACAATAAGACTTCAACCCACAGCAAACATTTTCAATACAAGGACATGTCCATTGTTGCTTTAATTAAAAAAGAAAAAAAATGTATATATATTTATATAAACAATCTTCCCGGCTTTAAATTGTCTTTTGAAGAGTTTGAATGGCTGGCTCATATACATGGTTTTTAATGTCTCTGAATGTCTTTTGTTTGGTTTGGGGTTTTCAAACGCATAACATAATTTCTGACCACAATAGCATGTGTCCATTGTCCTTATCTTGGTTCTTGTTTGACCCGACGTGCTCCTTTTTAGCCCCTGAAATGCCTTTCAAAGATGTTCGTAAGATCTTTCTGGATTTACTGTTGTGTGTTTTGAAGGAGCTGGGCCAAAAATGCAGACACCAGACGTTGGGGAAGGAGAAAAATACAGTTTTTGAAACTGAGGGGAAAGGGGGAGGTTGAGGTGGTGTCTCCGGACACAGGGGCAGGTAGTGACTATCTGAGGTAATGGTCAAGAGGTGAGCCTCTAAATACTGCTCCAGATGATGATGGGTCTCAGGTGTGGAGCCAGGTCCTCCAAATCCACATCTACCCAAATGAAAGAGCACACCACAACCACACCCGCAGTCTCATTTACCACATTTACCTGCTCATTTTGTTTATTGCGTCACCCCACAGACGACTCGGAGTCTGTTCAAGGATTTAAGGAACCTTTATTGTCATACTAGCTCGCATTTACATGTTTATGGCACAAAATTCCCAGTTTATGAAGTCCAATAAATAAGTATAAAAATCAAGTATTTGAAAAACAACTCAATCCCCCCACTGGTTTAAGGTCAATTAATATACAGTAGCTTGATGTGCTTGACCTGTGGAAGGGAAGCTGGGGAAACCAATGTGAGTATGAGGAGAGTATTAAAAAAAACATACAAAAAAAGTGCACAAAATGTTGTCTCTCTTTGAAACACAGACCGTAATATAGGTTAAGAAACTTGCGATCTTACACGGGAAGTCTATTTTTGCATGTCATTAAAGGGCAAACAATTTGGAACTCCAAAACTTTTCTCACAACCATGAATTACAGAAATAACTTCATTGTGTTTTGTCTTTGTGACATTTTTGATGAAAGTGATTGGTAAAGAAATGATGAATGAATTGTTACAGTTTGTACACTTGTCAATTTTTTTCTCCTCATCTCCATAACCTGTACTAATGGAAGCATTTGATTGGAGAATATTTTGAAATAGTTTCTGCTCCAGCTCCGTTCGCTGCTCTTACATTCATAGTTCTTACAATGTATTTGGGGTCATTTCCGATTCACTTCTGTTTGGAGCATCCTCTTGTCTCACCCTCAGAGACCCGAACGCGTCTTTAAATTTCTGCGACCCAAAACAGTACAGCAGAGGATCCAGACAGCTGTTCAGCCCGGCCAAAATGAAAGTGGCGTAGTATGCCGTCTCAATCTGCAGGAGAGCGCACCATCGTTCCGGGTAGAACTTTTTGAGGGACACCCCTACCGTTCGCACCACGTTCATCGGTAAGAAGCAAAGGCCGAAGATCACCAGGCACACGCCTATCATCCGCTGAGACTTCATCCGGACTTTCAGGCCTTTGGCCGTGCTGGTGTTGAGGCGAGTCAATGAACTAGCCAAGCGGCTGTAGCACACCGTGGACACGAGGAAAGGAAGTGCAAATCCAAAGACAAACAGAATGAAGTTGATGACAAAGTAGGTGTCTGTCAAGTTCTTCTGACGGATGGAGAGGCATTGACTGCTGTTGCCCTCTTTGTTGGGAGGAAGCAGCACTCCGAGGACTAGAGCCTGGATCAGCAACAGAGACCAAACTCCCGCGCACAGTTTTTTCACAAAGCCTTTCCGTTTGATGCGGGACCTTTTGTTGTAGTGCACCACGGCCGTGTACCGGTGGACGCTGATGAGCGTGAGGAACACGGTGCTGCCGTAGAAATGCGAGCTCAGCAGGGCGATTTTGACCTGACACAGGAACCAGCCGAAGGGCCAGTCGTGGCCCAGGCCAAAGTACGCCGCCATCATGGGCGTGACGGGCGTGGCGATGGCGTCGCTTAAGGCCAGGTTGAACTGCAGGGTGGTTCCAGAGGTCCAGCTGGGAAACCGGCAGCAGAACACCCACAGGCTGAAGATGTTGAGGATGAAGCCCACAAAGTAGACCAGACACATGACGACAGCGATGGCAACATGTTGCTGCGACCCCTGGCAAGCCTCAGAGGCATTACTGCTATTCCCTGTAGACAGTATCTCTATTGGCTCCATTTTCTCCACAGCCTCTTAGACTCTTACACCTGTGGGAAAAGAACACAATTGCTGTTCAATACAATACATAATTAATACTTTATCCGTGCTTTATGATGAAGGTAAGAGTAAAAGCAGACTAATGCATAATTCAGGGAAACATCGTGGTGTGGTGGTTAGCACCATTGCCTAACAGCAAGAGGGTTCTGGGTTGGAGTCCCTATGGGAACCAGGACCTTTTTGTGTGGAGTTTGTATGTTCTCCCTGTGTCTGAGTTTCTGGCTTCCTCCCACCGTCCAAAAACCTGCATGTTAGGTTGATTAGACAGTCCAAATTGCCCTTAGGAGTGACTGTGAGTGTGCGTGGTTGTTCGTCCTTGCGTGTCTCTGTGTGACCCCCTGCCTCTCGCCCACTAGGATAGGCTCCAGTCCCCCCTCAACCCCATTAGGGAATAAATGGTTACGATAATGGATGGATGGATGGATGCATAATTCAAAGAAGATTGACGGAAAAAGTCAATCAGCGGCTATACTTAATGTTTTTGCACATGCATTTCACATTAGATTAACATATACCAAAGTCGATAAATAAGTGGCAATGTAAAAATAAAGGTAATCAATGTAAAGATTTAATTGGATAAAAAGGTTATATATATATATATATATATATTAGTAAACGCTGTGGTTTTTGGGTAAATCTTCTGATCTTGGTTGTGGTTTTCCTATTTTTTTCTGTTTGGGTGGATTTATTTCTTGGTCTTGATCGTTGTTTCATGTCCTCTATTCAACTTTTTATTTCCTCATTTTGTTAAGTGTTTTGAGTCAGTCCTACTGCTACTTCATCAACCCCAAACACTTAGAAACATATGCATGTGTGGGTGCGAAAATGATGAAAATCGTGACATTGGTAACCATCTTCAATTTGAATTGAGCATCCAGATCTAATTTATTAAAAATGTGACCACATAACAGTCTTTGTAAGATTTCTACTACAACAAATAGAATGATAAACTATAGAGATTCCAAAACTCCTGAGACCAACTACATACTACCTCAACCTGTATACATTTCAATCCCAAATGAACTATTATCAAGTTCACAAACTTACAGATGTAACTGGTATTTTTCTTAACTGGTTAGCATGTGGAGGTTCTTCTCTCTTTCAAGGATCAGACAACTGACTGTTGATTTTATTCAGACTATTTAAGAATTGTTCACCATTGTGGCTGTTAAGGAACTGAGACAGAGAAGCAGCACTCAGTGCAACACCATGGAAGCGCGCCTTAAAAGGCGTCAAATATTTATCTTGTATCAGTATCAGCTAGTACTACCCAGCCTTTATCAAGATTAGAATGTTTTAAAAGTTATTTGTCAAATGTCAATTAAACCTGTAAGGCTCCAAAAAACATCAGTCAATTATTTAAAGACGGAAACTGTAACTGAACTAGGAAGTGCTGAATAAACGCACCAGAAGATGCACATGAAACAAGATGAAGTGCCAACATATTAAAATGTGGCTGGAAGTAAGATGGAAGTTAAAGAATAGCTAAAAGATTTAAAGTTTTTAGAGATAAGCCGAAGAGTGAAAGAAGAATCACTAAAGAATTTGAGTGATGAATGTATGAAAAGCTCCTGATTTTTTTCCCTGTAAAATGCTAAATTGGAACATATACAGTATAACAGTTAGAAGGGTAGGATTAAATGCTTTAGAGCAAAAGCCAAAGCCGAGGACCATTAAAAAAACTAACCACTTCTGCTTATTATATTAACATGCTGATTCTGAAATTCAGCCCCTTTTTGCGTTTTCTCTGAGAAAATGGGGAACTTGTTGACACATTCACTTCTTGATGTACTCAAAAAGTGAGAATATCACAGATAATTTCCTGTAAAACTGTAGACACTTAATCTTACATTTTTAGAAATGAAACCAATACAGTCTCATGGCATTCAAACTGTTAACTATTTTACAATTTCCCCTTTTACAAAAAACCCCAACAGCAAACAGACTTAGAAGCCTTTGACTCATTGTTGCGCTTCAACTTCTGTTTTGATCTCTTCTTCCACTCTTCATCTTATTTTTAAAAGCTTCAAATCCTTTAGCTATTGTTTAATATTCATGCAACTTTTACATTTTTAATGTGTTCCTTGGTTAATTGTTTCTATTTTTCCAGTTTCTTCAGCATGTTCTGCTGCGTTCATTCAGCAGATCAGTATCCTCAATTCTGTTTAGCAAGAGCAGGTTTCTATTCTAGTGCTACTTGTCAGTGATTCCTTAAGTAGTTCTAGTACTAACTGAAATGGGAGATTATGTCCATGCAAAAAAATTGTGCTGGGGATTAAAGTACTGGGGATATTTTACAAATGGAATTACATAACATTTTGTTTATGGTGGTCTATGGTGCCAAAAAGTATGTAGTTACTTGTAATAAAATCATAGTTCAATCTGATTCATTGATACAAATCCAGTTTAGATTTAAATGGCCAGACAAAAGACAGGATAGATTTTTGCTTGTGAGAATTTATCGGTTTTGATTCTGAAAATGTAGGAATAAAGTTTCTAAAGTTTTACAGAGAAACATCTATGGTTCTGAGACATGACACAGGAAAAGTGATGTTCTCAATTTCTGCCAGTTCCAGAAAGTGAAAGGAAGTTTTAACAGGATTTGGGCTCATCATACCAACTCTGGTATTTCTAATGGAAGTATGGAAGTCTAATGGAATTTGTGGGATAAATATCCATGATGAAATAATTCCATTCATGCATGAGATTTAATGTATATCTTAGCTGCAAATATAACTTATTTCTTCAATGTTCAGATAAACTTGATGACCTACAGGTTATTAAAGGCATAACTCCTACAAAAATAGCCAAGTGAAAGGACAAAATGTTGCTTACGAAGTAAAAAAAAAAAGGGCTGGGCAAACTAAGCAGTTCCTGTTTTTATATTTAGATATATGCTTGAATAATTGCACATAAAAAACAGTAAGAAAATAATGTTGTAATACAAGTCTTAAAAACAATTCAAGGTAATAATAGGATACTATTATTTCTGCAATGCCATGTATTTCATGTTTTGCCCTTTTGAGGACAAACCATTTCCTTTTTTAAGCACAGTTGAGGAACTGAGAAGTAAACATATGACTATAACAGTACCGATATAAGGTGTATATATATCTATATCTATGCTTGCATAAAAATATACCAAAGGCCTCAAGAAGTGAGTCCCAGGAGGTTCCCCATTTTTCCAGATAAACTGCAAAAGAAAGAGCTAAATTTCAGAATACAAATTAAATATTTGATGAATGTTGTCAGTTGTCATGGAACCCTTATAAGAAAAAATGGATTTGAATGGAAAGGTTTCTAGAAAAAACTTTCATTTTCTATTAAACAAGAATGTGGTCGCCATTGCGTGGGTTGGACTACTTTCTAAAAAGTGTTCTTCCAACAGACAAAATCAAAATGAAGATGTTGGGTGACAGTACGTTATGCCACATTCACAGAAAATCAAACCATTATCCCAACTGTAAAATACTAACTTTAATTTGTTTTACCTTGCAGCTACTGAATGAAATTAAAATAGAGTAAAATGTGAGACCGTCTGTTCAAAAGCTTTGTTACAGCAAGACCTTACAACGGGTTTAGGGCTAAAATAAAAGCACTAAATCCACTACAGAATTAAAAAAACAAAACAAAAACACAGTGCTGCAGTTATCCTGTGGAAATCCAAATTCTAAATTCAGTAAAATTCAGCAATGGAACCTTCACCTTATCCAATGTGCATAGATAGAAACCTACAAATCTCCACTAAGCAAACTGAAATGTATAAAAAAGCATGGCCCTAAACTCAAGACATATGTAATATTTTACGATATACACAAAAAAAACAGGCTCAAAGGTTTGATACAATCCTTTTAAGGATGCTGAACCTGTATATATTCTAAATTAGCTTCACTTCATGTAAAACAAAATGCAAATGTGAAAGCTATCTTCATACCTAGTCGTTGTTCCTCAGTTGTAAGGAAATTTGATGCAGTCTTACCCAAGTTGTGGCGGTCTCTCGTATACTGAACCAAGCACTACCTCTTTTTAGTCACACATAAGCATGCATGCCTGGGGTGATGCCATGTGATCCAAGACACGCACGTTTTTTTGGTTTTTTTTTCCATCGAATGAATGATCTATAAGAAAAAACGACAACAGTGCGCAGGTATTTACAAAAATCAATCTTTTAATTTTGGCTGGTTTACGTTAAAGCAACAGAGCCTTTGCACACGACTTGATTTCAAAAGGCTCGTGCACTAACGCAGAGTTTGAGTAATTCGAGATAAATCATAGACGACGAAACACTGAACATCTGGATAGGATGCAAGGAAAAGAAATGACAAACAAAAAGTAATTAGGTGCCCAATCACACTGCTAGGAGACGCCCGGCGTCGGTTTAGACTGCGGGAGACTTCAGAAAACTCGTCGGACGAAAAGGAAAATAGCGACGTGTCAAGTCTTTGAGCCAGCGGGAGGCTGGAGTGTTTGCCACTGATTAAAGGTCCGGGCGCTGTCTTCGGTTCGGTGGCGGTTCAGAGCAGCGCGGCGGGGGTGGAGGAGCCGGCGGCCGCGGCGGCGGCGGCGGGCACGGCCACCGGGTGCAGCCCCAGATCCACGGACGGGGGCTCGTCGGGCGGCGGGGGGCTTTTCTTCTGGGCCTCCATCTTCTGGATCAGCTGTGTGTACAGCTCCTTCAGCGGTTCGCTGCACTGCGGACACACACATCGAATCACAATAAGTGTCAAAAACACACTAGTAGGATTTCTATGACATTATGCTTTCCTTCCAATGTGGTCAGACCAAAATCTGACCAAATTTAACAGAGATCCATCTTTGTTCTGTTGTGTTCTGCTTCAATAATCCTTGAAATACGATCAAAACCAGACAGAAATCCACAGGTGGTGGATGAATTTGACATGTAATTGTTCAGACAGATGACCATGTATCGTACATGAAATCCAGGAATAAACGCTGTATGCAGACATAATGGGTTTAGCTGAGAATAAGGGACCTAAAAAACATGTTTCAGATGTAGAGCAGCCACAATAATGATGATATTACCAAAGTTCCTCTTCGGATTGGCTCTTCACCAGGTTGAGCAAACTGGGCAGATGTATACTTACTATATTCATTAAAATCCCTACATTCTAAATGAAGCCTCTTTAAGAGAGAAGACCAACAGAAGCTGCTTAAAAATAAAAAAGGTTGACAACAGCATGCTTGTAGGGCTGTCCAATATATATATGTATATATATGATTTAGTCTTAAAATGATTAGAAAAACCTAGCTAGAGCGGAGGAAACGGGGCTTTAGGCATGTGGTGCGTGTTTTGGTAAGTAAATAAGATAATTATTAGTCCTAATTGGTATTGTACCATTTTAGCTAGCACTCCTACTTTTTTATTCTTTATTTTCAGTGTGTACTTATTGATTTAGTCAGTTATTTACATACGGTAATACATATTACCTGGATATACTATTTCATATGAGACATTTGAGTATTTACTGGCTTAGTTGTTCTAAGTGAAAGGTTGACAGGAAGTTGTGGAGGAAAACTAATCCATTTGCTACTATTTAAAAAGGGAAAAGTGCAGTATGTCACCGCAAGGAGATTTAGGACAATTCACAAGCAAAGACCTGGAGTAAATTCCCCGGAGAAAGTCTTTAATTAAGGGACCTGAAAGTGGCTAGTCACAGCTAGTTTTTGGACACAATTTTCCCTGAAGACTGCCAGCAAATGCTCCTGTCCAGGTGAGTACTGCCAAATGTTTCGTTTCAATGGTCTATCAACCGTTTTACCTCTTGATTGTGGCTTATAGCATACGATGAAGGAGAAGTTCATTTTTAAGAAAACTTGTGGTCCAAAGACTTTTTTCGGATTCTACTCCGGGCTACAACTCTGTTTTGCTTTAAAAGCAGCGGATAAATAAAAAACCTCATATACCAACCTGTTTTGGGGGTTCAAGAGTTTTAATCAGTGTGTCCATGTACGAGGGCAAAACTTTGGGGTGCAGATGCAGTAACATGCGCAGGGTGTGTCTGTGGACATTTTCTTTGCTGGAAAACAGTAAGAATCGATAACAAAAGCATCACCAAGCAGTTTATCAAGTCTATTTTGTGCATATTTAAGCGATTCGCTCATATTTTGTGTAGATTGTGTTGCGACAGTTGGACAAAATTCTTCGTTTTAACCCACCTAGAAAATGAAGTAAGTAGGAAGCCATCAAAGACGACAGAGCAAAATTCTACTGTGCCAAATTCATCTGACAGCAGGGTCAGGTGGCCGGTCAGCAGGTGGAGGAAGATGTCGCTAAAGGCCATGTCGTTGTAGGTCTCCACTGCAGGAGCACACACAGAACACACACAAATATAACAAATATATTTAAACCTGCTCATCAACACAGCATATGCTGCTCTATCCGTTACACACAGAGTCGAATTCATGCTTTCGAGAATAGAAAATATAATATTTCAAAACATCAATATAAAATAATGGGTTATTCCTTGTCACAGAACCTAAAAACTAAAAAGAAAAAAACTTTAAAAAAAGATAAAATCTAAAAATGTTTTTATGCTTAATTCAATATGAGATAATACTAAAGTGGACACAATCGGTGGGAAAAATCTTTCAAATAAAACGAGACATTGACAAAAACGGTGTTATTGTCCACCAGTTTTAAGGGAGGAGAGACACTCACCCAGTGCTGGCAGCAGCCTCTGTAAGGCATTCTTGTTTCTTAGTTTAGCAATGTGGAGGACGTAGTAGAGACCCATCTCACAGGCCACTCTGTTGTCTTGCAGATATCTGAGAGAGGCAACAAAGACAAAGACTATCTTGACAAAAGGCAGAAAAAATTGGACGTAAAAGGGCGCGACTTCAAACGAGCCAATCGACATTCGGTTTATTTAACAGTTGTTGGCCAATTTTCGAAGTTTCTTTAAAGAAAATAACATCTTTATCGTTCTGATGTTATTTTTGAGCGTCTATCTCAAAACTGTCTGCTGAAGTTATCTTTAATTGTCAATCTAAAGTGTTTGTCATAGAGCATCAGCCGGAAACTGTCCTTTAATTGGTGCGTGAAAATGGTCGCGCACACTATTCTGTTCACTTAAAACATCATTTTAATTCCATAAGGTAAAATCTCTCCATTACACTTCTGTCCAAATAATGAGAATTAGGCATTCATAAAAAGTAAGAAATAAAAATAAATTAGTATGTTGGAGAAACTCTCAGATCTTCTTTGTTAAGTGTGAACTTGTACAACATTGTTGAAAAGATCATATTCTTACAGAAAATAAAGAGAAGGAGAAGAGAAATTGAGGAGAATATTCAAAATAAAGAAAATTTGAAAAAGTGAGGCAAATTTTCTATTGAAGCCTGAAGTATTCAATCTAATAATTTAAGATGTATTTTGTGTTTTAACATAAGAAAAAAAAGAAAATAAGAATAAATCGACTTCAAGGACAGAATGCAGTTTCCTCTAAATTCTCCTCCTGTGTTGTTTTACCTGTTGAATGAATCTGGCAGGGTGGTGGGATACGACAGCGTGCTCTTCTCCTCACTGGGAAGCTTCTGTTCTACACTGAAAGTGTGATCATCAACAACCACTGACATCATGGAAGGCAGGAAGCGGGTGACGACTTCCAAATCCTGAGGGAGAATGCAAACAGACCAATAAAAAAAAAAAAAAAAAGGTTTCTGTGTGCTTTCGTTTGGACGGTATTTCAAAACAAGCACTTATTTATGAGACAGATTTATCTATTCACTGGCATATCTAATGTGTTGCTCACTGTAACACAGAAGATAAAACAAGAAAAACTAGTTCACTCGCTGGAAATCCTAATTTAAACCTGAAGCTGACTGAACCTACAAAATAAGGAGTGGAAACACATTGGGTGAAAAAATAACAAAAGAAGATGCACACAAAATTCTGCCAATTGATCTAAAAGGTTATATCATCTTAACAATTTGAACAAAATATAGAATAAAACAGAATAATACGGAATATCTTTATATTTGTTTTCTTATCTTCTACTCACACAGTATCAATGACAACAATATTTTTAATTAAAAACCAATAACAAGTTAAAAGAACTGAATAAACAAAACAAAAAAACAGAACCACATCTACCATGTATTTTTTTTAAATAAAGTAAGTTTAGGTTGAGTAACTCAGTTTGGAATAATATACATGCAGTATTTTTTTATTTCCTTTGTGATGGGTGACCAGAAACTGGACAGAAGAACCTGGAACCAGATAATTTACGCACCAAACGGGGCTCTTTGAAGACCTGGCTGTCAATCATGTCCCATGCACCCTGACCCAGTGACAGCATCCTCAGCAGAAGCATCAGGTCTGGGCTGTCCTGTTCACAAAGATACATAAAAAATAAATAAATAAATAAATAAATAACACACACAAAGCATTTTTAAGGATCTGAAACGGACAACAACAAGTCTTTGAAATACTTGAAAACGTGTAAAACGAATGTAATCATCAGCCTTAGATGTTAATAAAACTAGCATTACTCAGCTCCTTTATCTATTTATTTTTGTTGTGGAAAATAACAATGAATTGTTGCTATGCCAGATCTTTGCCAGCGATGCTGCTGGACTAAGTTATCTTTAAATTCTCTTACTAATGTTGATAGAGGCCACATGCTAGGGTTTTCTGCTGGGGTTTTGATGGCATGAATCATGCCGTCCAAATTCTACTAGTTTAAAAAATACCCAGCTGTCAAGCCCCGTCTTCTTTCAAAAACAATTACCCTTTTTTTCGACATGCAATACAAATTATGAAGATTTTTCGCATCGGTTCTGTTTACAGAACTTAAAGGTACACAGTGTAGGAATTTCTCCCATCTAACGGTGAAAATGTATTTTGCATTCTAACAAATCGTGCTCTCTAGTGCCTCCTGTGACTTCCAAATCATCAAGTTTTCTCTCGGGTGATATGGTTTGTGATTCAAAAGAAATTACAAACTGCATTGAATCGTTAGTGTGAGCATGTAATTACTCCTTCAACAACATAACGTTGCCATGTTAGTTTGTTTTTTTGTTTGTAGCTAAACGAAAACACGTTGTGGATTAGCTAGACAGGGAGTCTAGTGCTTTATGTCCCTGTCTTTTTCAAAATGGCGGAACGCCATGGAAACGTCCGTGGACTTACCCGTCCTGTGTATATACAGATAGGAAATTCTTTGCTTATGAGGAGAAGTCAGATCATTGCAGAGGTAATTTTACACCAAATCAGGACACATTTAGAAATGTAGAACAATTATTTTAGCAATAAAATACTTAAAATGCTAAAATCCCTTTAAGAATGCAAGAGCTTTTCCAAAGAAGGACATTTCGAAACCCAAATCGTTACAAAGCAGTGACGGTAGCATAGACGACGTGCTCACCCTCGGTAAGGCGTCTTGACTCAGCAGCTCCTGCAGGTTCCTCATGATGCTCAAGACCAGGGTGTTGCAGGCAAACGGGTCGCACAGGATCATAGACAGATCCCTGAAACGCACACAAATCCCCCCGCCCCCAATAAGTCGCAGAATCGGGGGAAAAACGAACGCGGGCCACAAACTTAAAACGATCTTTACCCCAGGACTTGCTCCTGTCCTTTCTTCACACCGTCGAGGAAACCCTGCAGCTCTCTAGCTCGCTTGCCGTCCACAAATTTCTCCCGAATGCAGGCATCCAAACACCAAGTGAACTGTGAAAGTACACAGAGAAAAAAAAACAAAAATGTGTTAAAACAAACAAAAATAAAGATAGAACTCAACCACTGAAACGCAAGAAAATGAGGGTTTTGATGATCTCAATGTAAGAGTTTAAGTTGAAGACCTTACCTTATGGCAGGGGTCCACCGAGCAGATCTCACTGATGTCCAGATCGTGGAGGGACATCAGCAGCTCGGCCCTCAGCGTGCAGTAGTGGACGTTCCGCGTCCTCAGGAAGAGCGTCCGCAGGAACTGCAGCACCATGTCGTACAGCTTCACGTTTTTCCCGATCATCTGGGTCAGTTTTAGGACCACCTGCGGTCCGCAGAGAGGGGGGCCGGGAGAAGAAAAGACGGCAGCTGTTTACTGAAATTGGTTCTGAAGCCTCGGGGAAGGGGGTGCTAATCAAATGGAGCTTGAAATAAAGCATTTAGAATGGCCAAGCTTAAAAAATACCACTCAGATAAAATGACTACGCTCGCTTAGAGTTCATAGGTTGCCTCTTAAAGGATGTGTAGGAGAACACTTATTGTCTGGTCTAAAGGTAGGCAACCATTTATACTCCAAAAAGCCATATGGGCCCAGTTTCTACAAAAAAAAAACTAACAAAAAAACACCAGGAGCCACTAATAAGTTCTGACATCTAAAATTAAGACACCACTACGGGTGTTGTTTTTTAACTTGATTCCACGTAGAAAAAGCTATGCTGCTGCGGTTCTTTTGGAACTTCAACTGTGTAAATAAAGCGTTTTGAACATGTCGTTGTAGAACCTCAGCCAATCGGGTTGCGGTGATCCTAAAAGCTCAACTAAAGGAAACTGGAAGACGTTTCAGCTTTGATCTGAGAGGCTTCTTTAGTTCCAAACTGCTAGGTGTTGAGTACCGGTTCCAAATCCTTTGGCTAATGTGAGAGCCATTAGAGTCCACATCTCGTGGAGAATCGCTACTGTTCAATATCACCTTTGTCTTTGGATTCCTCGTTGGGTTCGAGTAATCTGCAGTTTAATTTATGTCTCTAATCTGTTGGTTTATGATACTATATTTTGAGATTTGGCAGGAATATATCAGCTATTGTAACGTACGGTTTTAAGTGACAAAGAGTCAAACCTGTTGTATTTTACTGTCATAGAGCACGCTAATCTTTCAAAATAAATCGCATTTTTATATTCCAAAGCCACATGGAGCCCCAGCATAAAGGATAAAGGAGCTGCATGTGGCTCCAGAGCTCCGGGTTAGCAGACTAGACCATATCTTGTCTAGTTAACTACTAATACAGCATCCAATCTCACACTGGGACAGACTTAAATAGGCCGCAGGTTATCTGAAAATACCAAAATCTGACTCATAATGGCTCATGCAGGGCGGCTAAACGACTGTTTGGGGTGCCTCACCTCTCCTTGGCGCCTCGTTTTCGGAGATGGGCTGAAGAAGTTGTGCAGGATGGAGAGGTCGCTGCTGAACAGGGCCGATTCCTTCTCCACGATGTACTGCTTCAGGAGGGGCGAGACCTCGTCGCCGAACAGGGCCTGGTTGTCCTGCCAGATCTGCCTCTTCACCTCCACCGCGCACACCTTGTACAGCTCTTTGTCAGCCATCACCATCTTCAGTTTCTTCTCTGGCACCTGGGAAGACATTTGGGGTTTTTATCGTAACTTAATTGTCATACAAGTAAAAACAATTTCCTCTCGACAGCTATTGGACACAGCCTTTACATTTTCTCGACATTTAGCAACTACAAAATACATTTTGAACATAACCAGAAGAGTTCAGAACAGAACAAGCTTCAAAAAGATACTGTCTTCAGAACTACTGCAGATGATATGATGAACTGACCTGTGTATATATGTTGTATGTTTTTACTCTTTTTCATGTTCCTATTATTTCTTAATGTGATTCTTTTAATGGTTTGTTCATAATGTAATGTAATTTCTTCATGTGAGGACACCAGGAAGACTAGTGGCCATTTATTTGGCAGCTAATGGGGATCCTAATAGAACTAAACTAAACTAAACATTTGGAGATTTCATCCTCTAAGCATAGCACAGGTCTAAGCACTGGAGAAGTCAACTAAAAACAAACCAGCAAGGTAAACAAAAAGAAAAAGTCCAATCTGAGCCAGATACCTAAACAGGACTTTTCTTCTAATTGAATTTGTTTCTATCTCCTTCCCACCTTTGTACAGCAGTTTACTCTGTCCTGCACTCGTTGCATTACATAAAGCCATCAAGTCTTTTTTTATTTCAAATAAACATCATTATGTACTTTACTGTGGCATAATAGTAATGATGATAATAACAACAATTACAATAACCAGTTTTCACCAAAAACTACTTCAGCTTTCTGAGTTAGTGGTAAGAAAACATCAGCAAAGAGAAATAAACTCTACTTTTCGAGTATATCCGTTAGAACACTTGCCTTGGGCAGATACTTCAGCACCTGCATCACCACTGGCTGAATGGAGAGCATTTTCACAAGTGGGAAGCTTTTCTCCAGCAGTTCTTCCAGCTTTTTGTATCTGTGATGATATAAAAACGCGATTAAGAGAACAAAAGACAAATGTAACGGCGCCCACTGGGTCGCTCGGAGGGCAAAAACGAGCAATCGCAAACCTGTCTTCGTCCTTTCCCTCCGCAATGACGGCGACTCGCTCCATGAGTTTTTCTCTGAGCTCGTCAAAGACGGACTGATGGAACTCCAGCCGAGGCGTCCCGTGGAGGTCTAGGAAGGGGAGAGCCGACTGCAGCGTCGGCAGCAGGATGCCATTTTCCATCTGCAGCCACATGAAAGTAGTCATGACTCTTGACATGTTTGCGTCTTTTGGAGGTAAATATATTTGCTTCTTCAGTTACTGAGGCATGGCTTGTTAAGCAGGACCACATAGATGTTACACCTGAGTTCAGTCTCTCAAGCGTCATCTACATATTTCTAAAAAACGGAAAAAATATGTTTCAATATGACTTTTTTATCGCTTTTTAAATATTCCATGTTTTAGATAATTAGATTGATCAAGCATGCTTTTAGACTTGTTATTCACCAACATTTTTAAACATGCATAAAAACACAGAAACGTATCCTATTAAGACATGATGTGTACCTTTTTCAGTCTGTAGAAAATGTCTAATTACAAAAAGCTACAAATGAGCTATATGGAAATGAACTAATGATCTAATCCACTCCAGAGTAATAATTTTATCTGACAAAACTCACATTCATCGGTCAAATTAGAATACACATACCACATTATGCAAAGAAATCATATATTATAAACATTTATATTCTATTTTCAGGGAACTTGTAGAACCTGTCCAATTTCTTTATAACTAAAGCAGAACTACAGTAAATGTTTTATTATTTTGTCTATTTAACGTGTGCAATCTGAAACTTAGAATGTCAAGTGTACATAGCTAGATGGTTTACCAAATAAGAGTATACATAATAAAATATACATTTCCAAGGAGAAAATACATGTTCACATTCTTGTACTATGATAGCTTAGGAAAATGGAGAAAATGGAGGGAAAAAGGTTACATGTAGCACAAACACTGTAAAATTGAAGGAATTTGGAGTATATCAAGTATAAATGGTTCCCAAATCATGCACAATCTCAATGGCATCCCAATGAACTGGCAATACTAGCTCATGCAGTTTAGTAAAAAGAAAAAAGAAAAGAAAGCAACCGTTATTTTTAACAATCTACATTTGAACACTTGTTAGCACATAAACTTTTCTTCAATATGCATGGTATTTCTAAGGTACGGCCTCGTGCTCTGTATTAAATTGAGTTAAACATTTTTGCTACCTGAAACTGATCAATGGCTTTCAGGGGCTCAGTGCAGTTCGTAAGAGTTTCCTTAAGATCCTCGCCATTGGATATCCCGAGCTCTGGCAGCCCCGCGAACATGTTGGTTTTGTTCTAATCATCAACTTCCGAAACAAATGGTGTGTGATTAAAACAGCCAACCTGATCTATTTAGCAAAAATATAACTGTATTCTTCAAAACTCAACGAGAGCTAATGATGTCTCTGTCAGAGAAAACTTCCTATGTGGTAACTTTGTAAATAGTCCCCCTGAAACACGTGCGATGCACAATGTCGGTTCCGTGATTCAGTAATGCTGAAACAGAGAGCCCTAGCTGTTAGTTCCCTTGTATATCTTCATTTTAACGGCCGAACGACTCATATCTGAACAATTAAGGCGAGTTGTACGGTAATGGCAAAAATAGATGTAGACAATGACCATTTAAGACAAATAATAAAAAGAAATCCGCTCAAAACAGACCCTGTGGGTAGTCTGGAGTCACTTCATTTGTAAAGAAATTCTTATAAATCAACGTGAGACATTTGTTTACATCTATGGAAACAGTAATTTAATAAAGCGGCGATTAGCAAATCTGAATATTGTTTATCTCAGATGGGGTCGCTGTGGATAGCATATTATGTAGTTTAACAACGTGCATTTTGAATTTGTACGTACCTTAATTTGCCAGCAGGAGGCAGTATTATTTTTATTATTATTATTATTCCAGAAGCCAAATGAAAAACGTACGTTGTGTTGCAATGATAAAGACACCCAAGAAAAATAGATTTGTGAAAGTCATCCAGTTGATGATGTTAAGATTGTTGAAGGAGAAAAGTCAAATGATATAAAAAAATAATGTATTTTTATGATGATCAAAAGAACGCAAGGAAATTGGAGAGCATTTTTCTATTTGTATTTTGGCAGTAGTTTCCTTGACATTAGGTCAGCTCGCAGCAGGAAACAGTACCAGGCAGGATGGTATATGCCATGACAGCAAGGAAGGCACACATTTTATTTTTGCTATTATTAATGTGGAAAATTTGGGATAAAAAAAATCCATTGTTCCTTGTTTTCACTTTTTTTTTCTTAAATGAGATTGACATAAACAAAAAATAATCAAAATGGACACAGCGCAGACAATCTTCTTCATGAAGCAAATTGCCAATTTCATAAAGAAAAATATGGTTCAGACACTCTCTCTGGATTCTAATACTAGTAATAGACTCAGACCTACACTTTAACAGCCATTTTAAATCAATAACATCAGCAGGCTTTTGCCATCTCAAAAACATTGCCAGAATCAGAGGAATAGTGTCCAGAGCTAGAAAGACTTATCCATGCATTTGTCTCTAGCAGGTTGGACTACTGCAACGGCCTTCTCACTGGGCTGTTTAAACCAGCTGTTAGACAGATGCAGAACATCTAGAATGCTGCTGTTAGAGTTCTGACCAGAACCAGGAAACACGACCATATCAGTCCAGTGCTCAGGTCTCTGCACTGGCTTCCTGTCACTCAGAGAATAGACTTTAAAAAAGCTCTGCTTGTGTAAGTCTCTTCACGGGCAAGCACCAAAATACCTTTCTGACATATTAGAGTCATATGAGCCAGCCCGGACTTTGATAACCTCAGGTTCTGGTTTACTGATGGTGCCCAGAGTCAGAACTAAACAAGGTGAAGCTTCATTTCAGTTCCATGTTCTTACAATCTGGAACAGTTCTCCTGAAGAGGTGAGACAGGCCTCAACTTTGACAATGTCTAAATCCAGGCTGAAAACGGCTCCATTTAACTCTGCATATGGAAACTGAATGTATTTTTTCTGCACCCTTCACTTTTTATCTATCTAATCGTTCTAATTGTTTATTCTTTTTCTTTCTTTGTTTTTCTGCTTTTAAATTCTTTGTATTGTCTTGTACAGAAAATGTGCTATACAAATAAACTTGCATAGCCTTGCCTTACACACACGTTATGGAGATGCTGTCACCTACCAGGCACAGGTGACAGTACCAGCTCCCCCTATTGTCATTTTTATTAACAAACTCATCTTTTTTGGTCAATAGAAGGAGAGGGGAGGGGGACGGCTCCTCTACCCCTGCGGTTTTGTAGGCTGAGCTCGGGAAAAGCACAACTCCCTCTCCCAAAATGCTTTGCTAATGCTCCTTTCCATTTCATAACTGGCCTATCCTTCTGAGTAACACATTGCATTAAGTACGGCATTAATACAGCTGAATGCACATTAATTATTAGAAACTAATCAAGAAACATATGTTTCTGTGGTCAATATATTTACTCAAACCCTAGGGATTTCTGGTTCAGCCTGCAAAAAACTCTCTTTTGTTCCAATCTCAGCATTCCAGCATCAGCTGTGTTATCCCCATTCAGGTGTGATACGTATCTCTAAATATCTCTCAGTTCATTCTCTCTGTCCATCGCTCACAAACGAAATGCAAATCCTGCAAACAATTTCTCTTAATTGATTGATTGATTGATTTAGATACATGATTTAAACAGCCAGTTTCATAATCTTTTGAAAATCTGCTGTCAGGGAGGTGGGTGTTGACGGGAGGACTCAGTCGCGGAATGAGGGGAACAAGGTTTATTGACAAAAAACAGGGTGAATGTCCAGACAAAGTACAAAACAAAGCTGTGGCAAACTGTGGGCAAAGTAACAAAGCAAGCAAACAATACTGTGGCAAAAACTATGACTTGGCAAAGTAACAAAATAAAGATAAACAAGACTATGACAAAACGTGACTATGACTGTGGCAGAACTACGACGAAAACAAACCTGGCGTGGGGGGTGATGACGGACGAAAGGACAAGAGACAAGGCAAGCAGACAAGAACGACCCCGCACCAGACAAGGGGAAACGAGGACTATTTAAACACATGAGGGAGGGAAACCCCAGGTGTACACAATAGGTAATCAAGACGAGACATTCCCCCAGGCGTGACATCTGCAGAAACTCATATATACAGGGCTGAGTAGTGTCACCATTCACCTCCCCTCTTTATCATAGTACATGTTGAAAATCATCAGTTTGAGACATTTTTAAATAAACAGATTCATCCTTGGAATTGTATTCAGCTCTTTCTGGAGTTTTTTTCCAGACCAGACTGAGAGTTTTTCCCTCTAATCATAGCCCCCCCACTTTATCAGTGGACAGTTTTTTAATATTACCTGGAAGTTGTTTATTTCTCACTTTATACATCACCCGAGGTGTTTGAAATTCTGCCATATCTGGGAATATGAGGATACAGGACTCTATAAATGATAAGTTGGTATGATCATGGAATCCTGGCTTAAACACCATTGTGATGGCCCTTTTTTGTAATGCGCATTAATGGTCATAGCAAGGTTTTGTAGGTGTTGCAGGAAAAGTGGGCAATATAGAATATTAAGTGCAGCATAATGTAGGATTTTTTTTGTTTTGTTGAGAACAGCAATATTTCTGGATATTTACTAGATGTATTTTATGTGAAGTTTCCAGCCAAAAAAAATGTTTTCCCTGAAACTGAATTTCTGTATCTATTAGGATTCACACATTTTCTTTGCTTTTGCAGTTTCCGAACAACATAAACTTAGTTTTATCCAAATGTAATCATGATTTATTAATATCAGTTTATATCTTATGTTGACATAACTCTATGTTAATTTCAGCCAAAATATGCTGCAAATGATCACAATGGTGTACAAAAAATATCAGTATGCAAACAACACAAAATGAAGTATTTTTTTAACTTTACTGGTGTCGTTATTGAATACTACCGTTTTGGTCCCACCACACACTGACCCCTGGGGGACACAGCCGACAATGTCCAAACAAGATGACTGGCAGTCACCCATTTGCACAAATTGTTGCCTGTTGCTACTCCCCTAATACCATAACACTCCAATTTACTGATAGTTATTTCAGGATATATTGTGTCAAATACTTTTTTGAAATCGACATAGTGCTGGGCAACTTTTTAATTGTGATTAATCTCATTCATTTTTATGCACGTCTTTTAATAAATGACATGTATTCCGCATTTTATGGTACTGCTTTATGAAAAAAAAGCCCAATAAAAGCCCTTTTTTTTAACAGATAAGGTACTTTTTACTTCAGTAGTCCCTTTGTTTCTCGAAGAAATGTGGACACAAATATTAATCAAACCACAATTTCAAATGAAATAGAATTCCAAAGTTATTTACTGCTGCTAGGGCAACAAACAAATTTTGAATTGAAATCATATTTCAGACTGGAAGTCCTACCATGATTTTTAAGAAAGAAAGAAAAAGAACTCAGTCTCCTGTTAGTTCTTTTTTGTAGAAAGTTAGCAGTTTCAAAATGAAGGCCGTGATTGGTTGAGACGTGCCCACCCAGAGCCAATACTACGGAGCCTCCCAGGTAATGTTTTTTTTCTTTTGCACAACATTTTTCTGTGCCCTCGCAGTACCATGCATGCGCTCGCAACACATTTTGCGTGTCCTCGCAATACTTTTGGTGTGAGTTTTGCTCGCCCAATAGTCATGCAGGATATTTATCCCACTTGTTAGTTTGTGTTTGGACACAGTGGAACACCCAAAACCTTTGGAGAAGTTTATAAGGTTTTATATTCAGATCTTCAAGTCTTCAATGTAAAGATGTTATTGTGTGAAAACTCAAAGGCTATTGCAGGGGCACGCAAAAGTATTGCACTGACATGAAAAAGAAAAAAAAATTGCCATGTTACCTGGGGGAGGCTCCGTACAATACCGATCATCATCCAATTCATCCTGTGATTCAGGTGTGAAAGTATGTTGGTGTATTCATTGGCAATGAACAACACACACATTTGTAAAATGTGTTAACATGATCTTAAAAATGTCAATGTTACACTTTAACATAATAATAACGTGTTGACGACCCAATATATGTGCATATATATACATATATATATCAAATGTTATTGCAATCACAATATAGTAACTCTCAAAATAGTGCAAAGCAGAAACAATACAACAATAACTCAACTTTATTCAAACGGTAATGTCCATATTCACTGCTATATTGCCGGATCAAACAACATTTAGTTTAGTGACACTGAAGGGTGAATATCTACAGCCTCATTTTAAGGTATGTCCACATTGCAGGTTTTAATGTTCAATTCCAATTTTTGGGGGAAATACGATTTTTTTTTCAAAGCGGTCGATGACATTTACAAATATATCCGGCCTGTATGTGATATCCTGTGTGAACTGCAAACGAATCCAAAAGTGTTC